TGCTAATAGTTAGAGGTGGCAAATTGGGCTCGGCCCGGAGGGCCGGCCCACCAAAATATTTTTATAATTAAATTCAAATTTCACTATTCTTTTTTTATAATTAAAATTTCACTATTCTTTTTTTCCCGTGCATCGCACGAGTTATACTTAACTTTGAAGGAGTTTTTTATGTAGGGTGTTGATTTGGAATATTATTCAAGAAAACTTAACGTTCTTAATGAAAAATCCATGTTATTTAAGGTCAACGTAAAAAAAAACAATTTGGAGTCATATAATGAGCCAAGATATCATGTTTCAAGTGTTTCAAGTAGCGAAGCTATTGTCACCTTATTCTTTAAGTCTTTGGTGGACCTGAATTTATGTTGTTGTTTTTTAAAAATTTATCATCGTGGGTTCTTTATATTTTACAAGTTTTTAGCATGTGTATTGATTTGATGTTGTTTAGACACATTTGTTCCAGTGTAAGCAAAAAATATGACTCATACATGACCATTTGATTAATTTGCTTTCAAATCCCTTTCAGACAATATTTTTTGGGTTCTACAAAAAAATAACCCATTTTGTTTTGCTGAGACTATTACTTCTGGGTGTTAACATATTAGCGTAATTTATTTAATGAGCATTTGCATTTTGTATCGTAGGCATAAATATGATGGTAGAAGAGGATGTTCCTGTAATCCATAAACATAGAAAATCACATGCTTGGTATGTGTTGAACTCATCCCTCCAATGATTGCTACAGAATGATACTGAATTAATAGCGTTTTCTTATTATAGGTACAAGCTGGTCTTTTAATTCCATATTTGCTTAGTCTGTTTGTTACCTTGATTTTATTAGTGGTTGTTATAGTTAGCAATAAGTTGTATGCATTTTTCTCTTTTTAGCCATCCTCATTTTAACATAGTCAACTATGGCGTATTTATTTTTTTCATAACTCATCGAGTAGATAATTATATTTGATTTGCATAATATTGATCACTCTGGATAATAGATTTGTATTTTTTTCCACCTGAAATATAAAACAAGATAGCAACATGAGTTTTTGTAAGTATAAGGTTTGCAGTGCGATTAACCAACCACGGCGGACGACAAATATTTGTTCTTTTTCCCCCGGGCATCGCACGGGTAATTCACTAGTAAGACAGAAGAAGGGACCTAGAAAACATGAGATAAAGACTCCTTCACGTCCTTACAAAATGAAATCTAAACATACCTCATCGTGTCAAAAAAAATAAAAATAAAAACACACAAGAGAGGGATTCGCACGAACGAAGAGAATGAAAACAATGAAGGGTAAGTAAGGGAGTGAATAAGAGTGAAAGGAAAAACCCTAGCCGCAATAGGAGAGAGAAAAGAGAAATAGGCAGAACAACATTCCATTCCAACGTTCCTTCTTATAGACGCAAGCAGCGAGAAAAGAAAAGCAGTCACAGAATAAATGAGCTGTCTGCCACCCAAAACTTTCCAAATCTCTTCCCACCATCTATAGTTTAAATTCAAAATTTGAAATCATTTCAAAATTCGAATTTTAAATCAGCTGAGCAATTCCAAAAAGCAATTAAAAGGGCTGAGTAATTCCAATGTGGGACATTCAATGACTTGTCTGCCACTACAATTGTTTTTTTTTTTAATTTAAAAAGGATTTTTTGATTTTTAAAAGAAATACTTTTTCCAATTTACCAAAGAAGGAAAGTTTTGAGCTGCCATGTAGTGTGAACAAAATCCTCAAAATTAAGCCGGGAGTGACACATCAGCTGAGTTTCCAATATTTGGGTTACCTTTATATATATATAGATTGGGATTGTTGAAGACTTGAAGTGCAGTAAGTAGAGCCATTGGTCTCACTTGCTCCTCAGCTTGAGTTTCCCTTCTTTCTCTTTTTTATCCTTTTTCTAATTCGATTTGAATGCGGAACTGGAAGAGATTCTTTAATGGTTGCCGTGTTCGAAGATTTCACTTGTGTTTTTTTATTTTTTATTTATTTTTTACAACTTCTAATTCGATCTGGCATGTTTGCCAGATTTATTTATATTGTGGGCATTTAGCATCATCATGATTTTGAAGATTATAAGGATTGAATGTTGAAAAAGTATAGGAGCCTGATTTCAGCCACCCTTTAAATCCATGAGTCTATGCAAACTTCCTGTCCTTCCTGCATGAGGGCATGGAAAAGTATAGGAGGGACAGATTCCAAAAAGACCAATATCAAAGTTGAAAAAATTGAATCTGATCTCTGTAGAATTGTTGTACTTGTGACATTGATAAGCAGCAAAATTGAAAATGAGATGTATGTTCACACAGTTCTGAGATGCCTTGGAGAACAACATATTTATACAGGTAAGTATATACATATACTTTGGATTGGTTGTTATCTTATATGTAAGGCTACTTAGTCTAATTTGTTTGTGATCAATCTTCTTTTCTCTAGCAGAAAATGAAACCGCAGAAGTCAATCAACAAATGAAGACTAATAAAGGTGCTTAAATGTTACAATATTAATTATGTTTCCAAATATGCAGATTGTTGAGTGCTCTTCTCTTCTTTGACCATCAACGCCTTTATGTTGAATTAGGTATGTGGATTCTGATTGGAGCAACCATAGGGGTTATAGTGATAATAGTTATCACTGTATACATATTTTTTCATAAATACTTCAGATCTGCCCCACCAAAAAACGAAGGTAAGACTTTCAAACTCATATTAGATAGCATCATACTTAAAGGGTATTATGCTTATGCAATCCTTTTTTCACAGTAACATTTGGAGACATTTTAAAGAAAACTGCTTGTCCAAGAGTTTCTATCAAGGAAGTGTATGCTGCCACTAACCATCTGAATGAAATGAATATCATTGGGGAAGGAAGTGCAGGTGAGATTCTTTTTCTCTCTTTGTTGAAAGCTGGTGATGAGAAATTTTGGTTTAATATATTAATTAAAATTTTATCATCAATTGTATAATCTATACATAAATATTCAAATAGTTTCTATGGTTTTCAATAACTTAAGCTACAGGCATTAGATAAGTGTTCTAGAGGTAAAAACTTGGCTCTTCTCCTTACCAAAACAATTGAAGACATCCACTTTTGTTTAAATTGTCAAAGCTTGACAATTCTGTACACATAAAGTGATCTTATATCTGGACTTCTCTTTTAGGTAAGGTCTATAAAGGCACAATGACAAGTAATCAGCATGTTGCAGTAAAGCACATAATCAATGATGACGGAAATATGGATACTTTTGTGAGAGAAGTTACAAGTTTATCTCATGTTAGACACCCAAATCTTGTTGCTTTGTTGGGTTACTGTGTTGAGGGAGATGAATGTTTTCTTGTCAATGAATTATGTCCCAGTGGGAGTCTCTCAAAGTCTCTTACTTAGGTAAGGGCAGCAGAAAGTAGCAGAATGAGGACGTAGTAGCTTGATTACGTATGGATCCATAAACTTGAGTTTATATATTTGAGAATGTATTATAATAACCTAGCTCGTGCCTTGGATACATTCTGTTTATTATAGTTTAGTTTTCTTGTAGATTGCAATATGAAAATATGACCTCCACAAAATGCATGAATTTTTGTAGTGTACATGGAAAAGTAAATGGCAATCGGCCAACTTTAGGGAGAATAAATACTCAGCTCTATGATTTTGCTCAATTAATTTGATACAACAAGATAACATCTTACAACTCAAATTAGTCTTGGTAATATACAATTAATAAGAATTACGGTCGGCTGAATAAGCGAACTGAACCGTATTAAAAAAAAAAAAAAAAACCAATCTTGAGAATCAACATAATTTTATAGACGAGTTAAAAAATTGAACCTAATCAAAATAACCCTTTTAAACTAATTTGTATATCCAAATTGGTTCTAAATGTGTTATTTGAATTGAATCGATTTAAACCAACTTGATTCAATTTAGAAAAAAATCGATTTAGATCATATCTACCCTTAAATTGAGAATGTTAATATCCTGAATATAATATATATATATATATATATATATATATATATATATATATATATATATATATATATATATTAAATTTAGAGTAACTATAGCAATTGTTATCATGCTTCTTCCTCATCATTTAGCAAACTTCAATATAACTAAATATAAAAAAGTACATATTTAATTGTGTTGTTGTAAAACAGAAAAACATCAAATGACAAAAAGAAAAGAAAAAAGAGAAAAAGATAAGATGTTAGATATTTAAACTATGACTAAAAGAATAAAACATAATCTTAGATTTGGTATGGGGTTTTGGTCACATGCAATGTTGTCAAACTCGAGTTTCTACGTAGAAACGGAAAGGGTTGATAGAAACATAAAACGTAGAAACGACACGAAACGTAAAGTTTCTACTTTCTACCTCTTAAGGTCAAGATACAAAATTATATATATGCATGTAAAAAAAATCACATAATGAATATGTATGTTGAGCTACTTATCTATCTAAAAAGGAAAATTATTTTTCATAACCAAGTATCAAAATTATAAAGAGTGAAAATTAACAAGTAATGGATAACCAATCTGTTCTAATTGCTTTATACACTCTGTGGATTTTGGATCATCGCTCATCAGGATATAATTCCACTTCTTTCAAAGCACACAATGATCCAAAAACATAAAGTGATTCTCATTGCATAACTTATAATAGAATTCAGCTTTATTAGACATAATTATAAAAAACATATATCCAAACAAAAAGATATTAAGATACTGTGAATATGATTTGGGAAAAACGAAAAATTAGGTTTTTATTTTTATTTTTTTGTAAATCTTTTTTTTTAATTAAATTTTTAGTTTTAAGTAAAAACGGTAAAAACGTAATTTTTTACCGTTTGTACGTTTTTACACGGCGTTTCTACCAGTTTTTACCAAGGACAATTTTTACTTAAGTTTTAACACGCACCACTCTAGTAAAAACGTAAAAAACGTAAGTTTTTACGTTTTTACACTAGTTTTTTTGACAACAATGGTCACATGAAACTTGTTCAGCTCCTATAAATGATGACCACCATCTATCAATATCTGCCATTTGAAGATCCAACCTCGGCCTTCGGGATGATCATCCATCGTCATGTCCCCAACTGCATATCAGTACAAACAACAAAGAATAATCACAATCTTAATTAATCAACCAAATGAATACAGAACTACAATAAAGAAAGCATTGGTAAAGTACACGGATTATAGGGATAGCTTTCTTTGTCAAGAAAAATCAAGCTGCATGTGAAGTCAGAAGCACATAAACGATTGAATGTACTTTCGACCCCAAGATTCCTCATCTGTTGGCTCTTCATGAGATCATAGGCATGCAAATGCAATGAATCTTTTTCTCCATATGAAAAACGTGGAAGCACTAAAACTTCAGAGCTTGTGTCCTGTCCTAATACTTGTTTAATAATATTTCCCTCTGATAAATGAACACTCTGAATATTAATCCATGACTCTCTCTTCATCCATATATTACAACTACCATCTCTAAGGTACTCTATAAGCGAGAGGCAACCGTCGATCACAGTAATATCCAAATCCAAATGTCTCTGGGACATAGCCGACAACACTTGTGGAAGCTCCATCTTGCTGAACTTCTCCTCCACCATATGGAAGATGAGTATGTAGTAAATGTCTTCTGAATCGTAGCCAAGCCAATGCACACTCTCCTTAAAAAACAATTGTTTCTCCTCGTCCATCCAATTATTATAAAAAGGTTCCACGAATGAAGCATCAATGACACTCCAAACACCTTTGTTGAGGGAATACAACTCCACCACGAGAGGATCGTCATTGGGACCAGGGTAACAAATATATATCACCTTGAAATCATTATTCTTGGAATCAAATCCAAATCCAAACCTAAACCGAAATCGTCGGGAAGGGTTATCCAGCATTTGGGTGGTTGGGAGTTGCAACATTCTTCGTGTCAGAGGATTCACGATGATGACCCCGTCACGATCATAGGATGTAGCGAAGCAAACGAGGCCGTTGAGAGCCCCCACAAAACGGTATGTACTCAGGATACGAGGAAGCGAAAACCAGCATTCGATATTTGGGGAGCATATAGAATAGTGTTCAAGTGAGTGATGGACAAGGAAGAGAGAAGTGGAGGAGAGGGAGCATTGTTGGTAAGAGGATACGAAGCGGTGGCTTTTTATCAAAAGGTTCCATGATTTGCACACTGCCATACACTTTCCAATGCTTTTGGGCGGAAGGCGATGAAGGATTTTCTCCAGTATATCTTCGTGAACATAATCAGACATTGTGACGCCGTTAGGGTTTGGAAGCGAACTACTTGGGTTAAACTTAAACATGAGAGAGTGTAAAACGTAAATTATTGGATGATATTTAAAAATTTCTGTAAATTCAAAAAATAATAAAAAATTCAAACTTATTATTAATAATGATAATTTGATTGTTGATTTTTTTCCCTTTTCATAAAAAAGTTCAATCTACGAAAAAAATCAATAATTATATTATTATTATTATCATTATTATTATTTTTGAAATTGCTTGGATTTTGAAATATGATTCTATTCATATATATGTTCATATTTCAAAAGCCTTCAAATTTAAATGGGATAGCCTTCAAATTCAAACTTATTATTAATAACGTGGTACGTACAGGGTCTGCCTTGACTCTTTTTACTTATTTTGATAAGAACGTTGCAAATCTGGAATAATAGCAACTAACAGGATGATAAAATTAAATGAGATAACTTTACTGAGGAAGCTAAAATAGAAAAAATAATCAGTACCTTAAAGTTAGGCTCCACTAACAACTAATGGCCTAATCTTTAGCAACTCAAATAACAAGATAAAATAACATAACGGTAAAATAATAAAATCATAACAGTAGCAACGTTTCTTCTAGTAGCCATCATTATAGGAGGATTTTGTGGTTGTAACATAATGATAATTTGATTGTTGATTTTTTTCCCTTTTCCTAAAAATATTCAATCTACGAAAAAAATCAATAATTATATTATTATTATTATTTTTGAAATTGCTTGGCTTTTGAAATATCATTCTATTCATATATATATATATATATATATATATATTGATATTTCAAAAGCCTTCAAATTTAAAAATATCAATTTTTTTTATTTGACTAATGATGTTTTCCTTTTCTGTCCAAAAAATCCAATCCACACAATTTGTTTAGTGAATGAGGAAAAAAATCAATAATAATTGCTTGGATTTTGAAATATGATTCTATTCATATGTTCATATTTCAAAAGCCTTCAAATTTAAAAATGTCAAATTTTTTATTAGCAATGATGATTTGAGTCTGACTAATGATGTTTTTACTTTTCTGTCCAAAAAGTTCAATCAACACAATTTGTTTATTGAATGAGGAAAAAAATCAATAGTAATAATAAAATGATTATAGATAATATTTTCAAATCCTTAAAAATTCAAAAATATTAATTTTTTTAATAATAATAATAATATTAATAGGATTATTAATTTTCTTTCTTTCTTTATTATCAATGATACAATGTTATTTTATTAATAAGTGGACCTTGGCCAGATTGGAAAGGCCCACAAAACTAGCTAAAAGTCTACAAAACTATTTTTTTTTTTTTTGATATCAAATCTACAAAACTAATTAGGTTAGATGAGATGAGATTGTGTAAATTATTGGCTGAATGATGACATTAACTTTTTTTCAAAAACAAATTTATTAATTTTTTTTCAAATTATTTACTAATTTTTTTTACAGAATAATATTTCTGCAGTTAATGCACATAAGTTATCCGCATTTACTCCCAAAACGATGTCGTTTTGGGATTGAAAAATTAAATAATTATAAAGACTATAATAACCCTGAAATAAATTAAAATTACAAAAACACTATGATTTTTGCCCCAAAACGATGTCGTATTAGGCTTACTGCAATTAACTTATCTACAGTAACTTCAGAAAAAGAGAACTTTTTTTTTATCCGATAACCTAGAGTAAATGTCAAAAGTGTATTAAATTCTTTAAATTAACAAAATTGATATTAAATTAACATTGTATTATTATATTTATTAGGTTAAATAATATTTCAAATTGTAAATAACTATTTATTTGATGTAAGATTTTAAGGTTTTAAAAATTAAAAAACGTTAAACTTATTATTTAAAAGAATAATTTGATTATTGATTTTTCTGCTTTTTATCCAAAAATTTCAATTCTCTCGTATCTTATGATTATTTTTAAATTCGTAAGAATTTTGAAATATGAATCTTATTTATACGATGACATTTCAAATTCTCTACAAATTCAAAAGTATTAAATTTATCGTTAACATAAGCCTTCTTTATTTTTCCAAGGATCAAAAAGTGTTCTCGTTCCCCAAATTTTCACGCCCCCTCTTCGTCTTCGACAATTAGGTTCTTCGTTGTTTATGCGTTGCGTGGCTGCATGTGTTGAAAGAATGTCGTTTATGATGAATCTATACTGATAGCAAAGAGATATCTCATGACAAGAACGTCAATAAGGGAAAAGTGTCCGAAACATTAAAGGGAAAAAAGTTATCGATGTTACTTTAGACAACTTTGTCTAATGTTCATCGAAACGACGTCGTTTTGGGTTGAAAAATTAAAAAATTATAATGATAAAAACTATTATAACCCTGAAATAAATTAAAATTACAAAAACACCATGATTTCCGTCCCAAAACGACGTCATTTCGATGAACATTAGATAAAGTTATCTAAAGTAACTTTAGAAAAAACAAACCCAACATTAAATGACACAAGTTGTGTCATTTTATAGACACAAATAGATGCGAGTTTTATTAACAAATAAATAAATAAAAATAAAATTGTGAGTCTCACATCTATATATTTATGAAATGACACAATTTGTGCCGTTTAAATTAAAATGATACACATTTTTTCCATTCAATAATCATATAAATAAGGTTTCATACTGTTATGGACTACTTAGGTGGTTCTCACTTCTTATCCCCACCACACAACCGGGTCAATGGCTGATGACATGCCAAATACATAAGCTCTGATCTTCGTACTGCCTTGCAAGTTTTGGGTCTCTATGTGCATAAAACACTAAGGGGGTGTATTGGATTGAGATTTCAAAGGATTTAATGGATTGTTTTTGGATAAGAAAATCCGTTGGTATTCGATTAGGATTTTAATAGATTGAAAAAAGTCATGTGGTATTCGATTAAGATTTTAAAGGATTATTTTAAAATCCGTCCAAATTCATTGGTATTCAATCAGGATTTGAAACAATGGAATCACAATCTCGTGGTATTCAAAAATTCAACAATTTTAATGAATTTTCTATGGCTTTAATGTTTCTAAAGTGAATGTAGATAAGTTATCTACATTCGCTCCCAAAACGACTTCGTTTTGGGTTGAAAAATTAAAAAATTATAATGAAAAAGATGATTATAACCCTGAAATAAATTATAATTACAAAAATACCTTGATTTTTGCCTCAAAACGACGTCGTTTTGGGCTCAATGTCGATAAGTTATCTACATTGACCGTAGAAAAAGCGAACCCATTTTCTATTGGTGTGGATTTCGTGAGACTTTTTAGTGAAAAATATAAATAGGATGCCTCTCTCACAATCTCACCCCAACCCCTAGGATTTCTTGAGATTCTTCCATTGCAGTGTTTTCTTCTTTCTTTGGCAGATTGACTGCTCGAAATTGGGTTCCGCCATGAGAGCTTCGTCAAAACTAAAAAAAAGCATATTTTCAACACAAAATAACCCAGAAACAACAAACCAACGAGATTTTAATATAATCTATTTCAAAAATAACATATTTTTGAGAAATTTTGGAAGTTTAAAAATTGATTTTTCAAGCTATGGGTCATGATTTTTCTTGGCACAAAAAACGTGTTATTTTTGTATTAAAAACAACATAAAACAGTGAAAAAATAACGGAAAAACTAAAACCCTCAAACCAATTTTCGTTTTACATCAATGAAACAATATCAATTTAAAGAAAGATTGAAACTTTCATAATATGAACCCTATATTTTGTAACAATACATTCATGAAAGAAATTCCTTCACTATAGGAAACGATTTCAAACAATTTTTGTGTCAATAGATAACTAAAAACTTATTTCTCAAAAGCCTCAAAGCAATTTAAGGTTTCAATGTATCGATTGAAAAAAATTTGAGAAATTTTTTAAACTTTCATGTAATTAGTTGAGATATATAGTCCCATATTAGTTGTATGTGCAACTAATGTGAAGTTTATAAGGCCTTGGGCATTCCCACCCTTTGAGCTAGCTTTTGGGGTGGTGTATCCCAAGGTTCTTTACATGGTATCAGAGCCTCGCCGCTCCCCACTTTCTCTTGTGGAATTTCTTAGCACAGGTAGGCTGGGCCTGTTGCATCATCCACTCTTCAAGCCCAATGGCTCTCGTGTGAGGGGGCGTGTTGAGATATATAGTCTCACATTGGTTGTATGTGCGACTAATTTGGAGTTTATAAAGTTTTGGGCACTCCCACCCTTTGAGCTAGCTTTTGGGGTGGTGTATCCCAAGGTTCTTTACATGGTACCAGAGGTTCTTTACATGGTATCAGAGCCTTGCCGCCCCCCACTTTCTCTTGTGGCATTTCTTAGCACAGGTAGGCTGGCCTGTTGCATTGTCCACTCTTCAAGCCCAATGGGCTCTCGTGTGAGGGGGCGTGTTGAAATATATAGTCTCACATTGGTTGTATGTGCGACTAATGTGGAGTTAATAAAGTCTTGGGCACTCCCACCCTTTGAGCTAGCCTTTGGGGTGGTGTATCCCAAGGTTCTTTACATGGTATCAGAGTCTCGCCGCCCCCCACTTTCTCTTGTGGCGTTTCTTAGCACAGGTAGGCTGGGCCTGTTGCATTGTCCACTCTTCAAGCCAAATGGGCTCTCGTGTGAGGGGGCGTGTTGAGATATATAGTCCCACATTGGTTGTATGTGCAACTAATGTGGAGTTTATAAGGCTTTGGGCACTCCCACCCTTTGAGCTAGCTTTTGGGATGGTGTATCCCAAGGTTATTTACATGGTATCAGAGCCTTGTGTCCCAGGTAGGTGGGCCTGTGCATTGTCCACCCTTCTAGCCCAGTGGGCTCTTGTGTGAGGGGGCGTGTTGAGATACATAAAATCATTAATGTAGCCTCACCCAACAGCTTAAGTTTTTGGGTTGAATTGGTTCTTTACACCTTCACTATAGGAAACGATTTCAAACAATTTTTGTGTCAATAGATAACTAAAAGCTTATTTCTCAAAAGCCTCAAAGCAATTTAAGGTTTCAATGTATCGATTGAAAAAAAATTGAGAAATTTTTTAAACTTTCATGTAATTAAACCCAAATTTTCAGAATCAAAATTTTCTTAAAATATTCAATGAAAATATGCATATGATATATGGTTAGAAAATTCCAAAAGCCCCAAGGTTTTCAAGATCAATTGCAAAAAATTCCAAACGAAATTTTATCATGAACTTTAGGTTCTATATGCAAATTTAGAATTATTTTTATAATTAAAAAAATTTGGGTCTTATAATCATATATGCATAACTTTGATACCAAATAAAGAAGATAATTTTCAACCCATTAGATATGTGAAAAGTTGTTGTTTAGTAATTTTGAACGTTTGTTATAAATTATATTATGTTTTACCGATTGAGAAAATTATTTAGGTTTTACTTTTTTTATTAATTTTATTGCATTTCTTTGTTATTTTTTTTATGGGGAAGATTATACTTACAACCTATTTTTATTTACAATCATATCTTAACCGTTTATTTTCGTCAATCAATGGTTATTATTTTCGCAAATCAAACTCATTAATTAATATTTAATTTGCAATGAAGGATAACCGCTGATTGACGAAAATTAACGGTTAAGATATGGTTGTAAAATGTTATAAACAAAAATAGGTTATATTGTATTGACTCTTGTAATTTTGAATGTTTGGTAAAAATTCATATGGTTTTTTAAAATCTTATAAATTCATATTGTCCTTTCAAATCTTATAAATTCTATTAAAATTCAATCTTATGAAATCTTGATTGTAAAAAAAGTCTTCTAAAAAAGTCTTTAAAGTCTTTCCAATTCTAAATAGTCTTTTAAAACCTATAAGATTTTTTAGCTCAAAAAAGTCTTTTAAAATCCTAATCTAATACACCCCTAAGCTAAGTATTTTCTTTTTCTTTTTCCTCATCTTAAACTCAACTTCAACTTCATTGTAAATTTCTAGTTTAATTCATTTTTGTTTTTTTGTTCTTTCTCTTAAAATTATGAGAACCCGCTATCAATTTCCCTCAAAAGACTCAAAAGGTTGATCGAGAAAAATTGCACGGGTTCCTGATATATTATATTGTTTTCACGTCCTCCTTTTCTTTCATCGGTCCTCGTTAATCAAGAATTAAGAAAGTGGTAGGTCATAGTAGGCGCTAGTCACTTCTACGTCTCGTATCCAAAAGTCTGGTAAACCTGCAACCCCGCCCTTAGTTTTTGCTTAATAATGTTAGTTGGGCAAATTCCATATAAATATAATGTGATTGTAATTTTTGTTACATGATATGCATATGCTCTACTTGTATTTATTTTAATTGGATGGGTATGGTTAGATTCAAATGCAACAAACCTGTTGAGATATATAGACTCCATTGTTTGACATGGTATCAGAACTTGAGTGACTATAAGGTCAGAAGTTCGATCCTCGCTACGAGAGAATGTACATCAATTCTTATGCTATACGTTATTATGAGGTGTTGGTTTTAACGCAGATTACAAGATAAAGGAATAATCATCTTTTTCATTAATTGTCACTGTTTACAAAAGAAATCTATATATATACAGAAGATGGAATGGAATAACCGTAAGCAGAAAACACACCTCATACCCGTGAAAAGGGGGCCAGAATAACAAACTCTAACAAACCTCAGGTATTCTAGAAGCAGCTAAAAACTAATTGAATAAGAATAAAAATAATACCAACAACTATTCAGACCATAAAACAGAATTAAAACTATTTATTATAATACTCCCTTTCAAGATGGAGCATGAATATTGAGGATTCCCATCTTGCTTAGTAAGGTCATAAACTGATTTGGATGCAAGGCTTTGGTAAGTAAGTCAACCAATTGAGATTGTGAAGATACATGTAAGGCCTTCACATCTCCTTTCAAGATTTTTTCTCTAACCAAATGACAGTCAATCTCAATATGTTTTGTTCTCTCATGGAAAAGAGAATTTTCAGCAATATGAAGAGCTGCCTCATTATCACAGAAGATCAATGCTGGTCCTTGATGTATAAACCCAAAATCTGACAGAATAGCACGTAGCCAAACTAATTCACAGGTGACATTGGCCATTGCTCTATACTCAGCTTCTGCTGAGGATCTGGAAATTGTTGGTTGTTTCTTTGATTTCCAACTAATGAGCGAATTTCCCAAGAAAACACAGAAACCAATCACAGATCGTCTGGTGTCTATGCAAGATGCCCAATCCGAATCTGAAAAGGCTTTAAGTTTCAGATCACCAGAACTAGAATAGAAGAGTCCTTGACCAATGGTTCCTTTAATATAGTGGAGCAATCTGTATGCTGCATGCAGGTGAGGAATCCGAGGTTGAGCTAGAAACTGACTTAGTTTATTTACAGCATAGGAAAGGTCAGGCCTGGTGATGGTTAGATATAATAATCTACCAATTAGTCTTCTGTAAACTATTGGATCTTCAACAAGGTCTCCTTTCTCTTGTGAAAGTTTCAAATTGGTTTCCATGGGTGTTGATTTGGGTTTACAACCAGTCTGTCCTGCATCAGAAAGAATTTGCAAGGCATAGTTGCGTTGGCAAATACTGATCCCTTTAGTTGATCTAGCAACTTCGATTCCAAGGAAGTATTTCAAGTCACCAAGATCTTTGAGCTTGAAATGACTATTCAGAAGAGTTTTCAAGACTTGAACTTGCATATTATCATTGCTAGCTATCTCAATGTCATCAACATAAACTAGAAGAGCAAGGAAAAACTCACCTTGTGTCTTGATAAATAAGGATGAATCAACCTTTGATTACTGAAAACCATTCTCGGTTAGAACACTGGAAAATTTCAAGAACCATTGTCTTGATGCTTGTTTGAGGCCATATAAAGATTTGTGTAGCTTGCAAACAATATTTGAATGTATAGACTCCCCTTCATGGTGATATCCAGGTGGAGGAAGCATATAAACTTCCTCGGTGAGGTCACCATGCAAAAAAGCATTATTGACATCCAACTGAGTAAGAGACCAGCCCTTAATAGCAGATAAAGCCAGAAGGAAACGGACAGAAGTAATCTTGGCCACGGGGGAGAAGGTATCAAAATAGTCGATCCCTTCTTGTTGGGTAAAACCTTGAGCAACCAATCTGGCTTTGTATCTCTCTAAAGAACCATCTGCATTAAGCTTGACTTTGTAGATCCATTTACTACCAATTGGGCGTTTGCCATGAGGGAGAGGAACCAGAGACCAAGTCTTATTTGCTTCCAAAGCAGATATCTCTAACTGCGTAGCAGTGCGCCAGGAAGGAATTTTATTTGCCTCATGAAAGGAAGAAGGTTTAGGGTGCAAAGTGACTGAATTAATAAAACCAGCATAAGAGGGAGACAACTGAGATGCTGATATAACATAATGGAGAGGATAATTGATGGAAGATGCTACTGAGGAACAGAGGTAGTCTTTGAGGTAAGTAGGAGGATGTACAATACGAGTAGAGGTCTTCAAAGGAAGAGGAGGAGAATTATGAGTAGGCAATACTGTATCAGAAAAAATATCAGTGGAAGGAGATGGTGGTAGGTGGGTAAAAGGGAATTCTGTCTCATGGAAAATGACATCACGAGATATAAAAACTCTGTTGGTTGACAGATCAAGTACCTTGTAGGCCTTGTATCCAAGAGGATATCCAAGAAAAACCACTGGGATGGCTCTGGAAGAGAACTTATGGCGATCACGAGGCAAGGTGGAAGCATAACACAAGCATCCAAAAGTGCGCAGGTGATCATACAGAGGAGGTTTTCCCATTAAGACCTCAAAAGGAGATTTATTTTCCAGCAAAGAAGTTGGTAACCTGTTGATCAAATAAGAGGCTGTGAGTACACAATCAGTCCAGTAAGGAAGAGGAACATTTGATTGAAAAAACAGTGATCGAGCCACATTAAGCAAATGCTGATGCTTCCTCTCAACCACAGCATTTTGTTGGGGACGATCCACACAAGCATGTTGGTGAACAATACCATTTCCCTTGAAGAAGTCAGTAAAATTGAATTCATGGGCATTATCTGATCGGACAGATTTAATATGAGCATTAAAATGAGTAGCAATCATGGTATAGAATTCAGGAAACACTCGCAAGACATCTGATTTAGTCTTGAGAAAATAAATCCAAGTGAACCTGCTGCAATCATCCACAATTGTTAGAAAAAAACGGAAACCATCAACAGAAATGGTGGAAAAGGGCCCCCAAACATCCAAGTGAATTAAGTCAAAAGGTAAATTTGAAGTATTATTATGAGAAACAAAAGGCAATCGCCTTTGTTTGGACAAAGGACAAACATGACATGTGTGAGATGCATCAGAAACTAATGATAAGCGTAATACATCTTTTAAAGCTTGTAAACGGGAAAGGGAAGGGTGACCAAGGCGTTGGTGCCAGAGAGAGCAGAGATTATTTGACAAGACATGAGCCTCATGACTAAGAGGTGGTCCAGCCAAAATATAAAGATTGCCGTGTCGATCAGCAGTCCCAATCTTGTGCCCCGTAGTAGGATCTTGTAAAACACAAGATGAAGAGGAAAAAGAAAGAGTGAGGTTAAAATGAGAGGTCAAGGCACTGACGGATAAGAGGTTGTAATGAAAAGCTGGGACAAATAAAACAGAGGAGAGGGTAATATGTGGAGATAAACGAACGGAACCAATGCGAAGGACAGGAATGGATGTACCATTTGGCAAGTTGACAGAAAAATCAATAATAGGATGTGAAGATAGGAATGAATTGAGGTCATAACAGACATGGTGTGTGGCCCCTGTGTCCAAGATCCAAGAAGAAGAAGAAATTGTAGGGGACTCACCAGACACATGGGCAACAGAGGAAACTGACGCAGACGAATCTAACCCAGATTCGATGGCGGTGGCAGACGGTGAAGGAGACTGAGACGAATGGAGAAGGGCAAGCAACTGAGAGACTTGCCCTGGGCTGAGGGTTTGATTTTGGCTGATCGGCCCAATCGAATTAACACAGCCAGCTTTGGATGGGTGGGGATTGGAGTTGTGGGCTGGCCCAGATCCTGTTGAGGTCCGTTTTCCCTTGTAACCGGGTGGGTACCCATGGATCCGAAAACACTTTTCAATAGTGTGCCCATTCATGTTGCAATTGGTGCAATAAGGACGCCTCTGCTTCCCCAAAACCTGCGCCGCTGTCGTCTCAGTCACAGGAGCTACATGGACGGCATTCATGGTAGAATCACTGGAAAGAAAACCAGAATGAATGTTTCGTTGTCGTTCCTCCTGAATCACCAGAGAGAAAACTTTCCCAAGAGAAGGTAACGGTTCCATCAACAATATTTGGGCTCTGGTAGAGGAAAAAGATTTATTCAAACCCATCAAAAATTGTAGGGAACGTTCTTGCTCACGGTAGAGAGTCCATGGTTTCATGCCTCCACAATGGCAGCTGGGAACGGGTTCGAACTCCTTTAATTCGTCCCAGAGAATTTTCAGACGAGTGTAGTAGGAGTTGACGTCAAGAGAACCTTGGACCAATGTTGTAATCTGAGATTTCAACTGGAAAATACGAGGGCCATTACCCTGTTGAAACCGTTCTTTGAGATCGATCCAGATGCTGGCTGCCGTGGGTGTGTAGAGAAGGCTGTTTGCAATCTCACGGACCATTGAGTTCAGCAGCCAAGAAGTCACCATACTGTTGCAACGAGTCCAGAAGGAGCTAAGTAAATCATCCGGATCGGGTTGAGGAATGGATCCATCGATGAACTGAACTTTGTTTTTGGCAGTGAGGGCAATTAACATGGCTCTGCTCCAAGTGTGATAATTGGTTCCATTGAGAAGATGCGTCACAAGCACAAGTCCCGGATGATCTGCGCTATGCAGGTAGTAAGGACTGGACACATCCTCAATGGCAGAAGACGATGAGCCACTAGGTGGCTTGGGTTGTTGGCCTTTGGCCATGACAGAGAGAAATCAGAGGATAAACGAAAGCAACTTTGCTCTTGATACCATATTACAAGATAAAGGAATAATCATCTTTTTCATTAATTGTCACTGTTTACAAAAGAAATCTATATATATACAGAAGATGGAATGAAATAACCGTAAGCAGAAAACACACCTCATACCCGTGAAAAGGGGGCCAGAATAACAAACTCTAACAAACCTCAGGTATTCTAGGAGCAGCTAAAAACTAATTGAATAAGAATAAAAATAATACCAACAACTATTCAGACCATAAAACAGAATTAAAACTATTTATTCTAATACAGGCTTTTCAATTTTTTGATTTGGGAATAAGCGTCCAGTTCAAAAGAACAGCGATTGGTGCCAATTCAAAATCTAATGGCCTACCTTTATTACATTATGCTTTTCTTAAATATTTTATGAACACACATGAAATGGAATATGGATGAGTTATACATTCAGATTACGTTCTTTAAGAATCTTCTTGAGCTTATAACCATGTTTAAATCGTGTTCCATTTTGGAACATATGAAAATTCAGTGACACAACTTGCAATTGCTAATAATTAATGATAAACTCAGATCCATAGACATTTCACCCACAGAAGACTTCCTGATGGAAGGTGTTCTGGACTCTAGCTACAATCTCACAAGTTAAAGGTTTTCATATCCAGTTTCCACCACTGGCCGCACCTGACATGAACAGCTATGGAAGTTCATCTCTAAAACCAAAACAAGTCCAACATACATCCATATGGCAATAGTCTTGAAACTGGAAACACTTAAATAATTACGGAAAAGATTCATAAGATTAAATGGTTTAAACATCTGCAATGGAAATCTATGATTAAAGCAATCAAGCAAATGTAATCGATTATACTCAAGACAGAACAGTCAAAATGGAATATAAAAAAACAATAGCCAATAAATATATAAAGTATGAAAAATTTTTCCCTCTCATCCCCTTTTTATAGTATAAGGAAAAATATTAATAAATAAAACTCTACTTTACATCTACATTCAGTCATCTAAGTACATTGGATTCATGGCCTTTTGGTCTAAACTGCCTTTTGTATGTTTACAGAATGTACAATATATATTCACGGTTCCAAGTTTCCTTATTTTACAATTAGAAGTAGTTGACATTTGATAAATGTAACACTTCATTCAAAATAAAATAAAAAATAAAAAACCTGTAAAGTGTAAACCCAAGGGAAGAAGCAAAAAGAATTCAAATCAAAAGCCTCATGATTCAAAACAAAAATGGTTTCCTTATTTTTTGTTTATGGGCTGGAGCCCAACTGGTCCATCCTCAAATATCATTGGAGGTTTGACCTGTGCCCGTTGACTGAAAGGGGCAAATTGGGAAGCACAGAAAAGGAGCTCACTCTCCCAAAGCCAAAAGGAGAGAGCGTGGTTATAATTTTCGATGTTCTCACTGTTCTCACTTACTTTCGCAAAAACGCTCTTTGTACTCTCTTTCCTCGACTCCGCAGCGTAGATCTGAGGAGTTTGGGAAACCCTAACTGCTCTCACCAACGACCTTACCACTCTCTTCGCCTTCGCTTTTTCTCCGATCAACCACCTTTCACCATCCTAAGGTTGCTCTTTCTTCTTCTTCTTGCGTCTTCTCTGATTCGACGCTATCTTTGTTTTTTTTGTTTTTTTTTTTGTAACAGTGCAATTCTTCTCAATTGGTTTCGATAAAGTTTTTTCCTGTGTCAATCGATGTAGTTTTTATCGAGCTTTTACTGATTGGATCTGTTCATGCTGCTCTGGCTATTGGATTTTGAGTTTTGTTAGGTTTTGAATCCTTTCCTATGATTTAGTTTTAGATGTTAAATATTTTTTTTCTAGGTTGATTTGTTCTTTTTTTTGTAAGCGTGACATCAATTTTTTTTTTTTTTTTTTTTTTTAAAAAGTATTATTATTATTGGTTTTTAATCATGCTTTTATTCCAACCTTGTCCTTTTGCACTAATGGTTTCGTTTTGTCCCTTTAGTTTTTGATCCGCCTAGTGTGTGCTCCGACTCAGCTTGGATTTTGCAAACTTGATTTTATTAGAAGTGAGATAGAGTGAAGCAATTTATGTTTGTGAACATTTATTTTAAAAGTGATTTTGTTTGTTTTGTATACTGTTGATAAAAATTACTTTCCGATGTGTAGCTAGCAAAACGGACACGAGTTATATCTTGAGTTAAGATTGAAAATAAATTGATATTAACAAGTTGATTGTAAAATAATTTGATATAAAAGGTTGTTTGTTTGGGTATGATAAGATAGATATCTGGGGTATGATTAATATTTTGATAACAATATTGAGTTATGTCAAATTATTATGGTATTTTGGTCTATACATACACAAACGGGATTTTTCTCACGGCCAAAGCAACTAAATGTTGCCTCTACGGCTGCAGTGAGAGAATGATGTTTGAGTGCAAACGTGACTTTGCCTTTGCCAAACATGTTAGCACTGCGCAGGAGGCACTTTTGATCTGCGAACGGGCTTTGGATTGGCTGAAAGCCTAACCAAACATGATTTAATAAATGGCATGGTAATTCTATTTTGCTTCATCTTGCAGTCATGGCAGGAGTTACGCCCGAGGGATCACAGTTTGATGCTCGTCAATTTGATTCCAAGATGAATGAGTTGTAAGAACTTCCTTATGTTCTTTTTTCCTTCTTCTTCAAAGTTGCTGTATACAGTTTTGGTTTATTAGCATTTATATACTGTGATTGTTCATGTTTTTGTCTAATTTTTTTATACGTACTTACAATGAGATTCTAATGTTAATTTGTTTGATTTTGATTACTTGATGGCTACAGGCTTACAGCTGAAGGACAGGACTTCTTCACATCTTATGATGAGGTTTATGATAGTTTTGATGCTATGGGCTTGCAAGAGAATCTCCTGAGAGGCATTTACGCATATGGTAAGTTTAAATTTCTCCGTGGCCTCTTTTACTTTGTTTTTTCATACCTTTAGTTTTAAACAAAACAAGAGTTTTTCATACTTCCATGCGATAAAAATTAAAATTTTATTGAGACCTTGAAGTTCTTCTTGTTTTTTTTTTTTTTCAAATGTATAGTGGCAGCATAACACTTAGGTCATGGTGTATGGCTTTATTTTGCTGTATTAATGTGTCAACCACGGTGGTCTTGCCATTGTTAATGATCTATGATCGTTCATTCAGACTTCAAACCTTATACTAGTTCAATTTGGTTTTAGGTTTTGAGAAGCCATCAGCTATTCAGCAAAGGGGAATAGTTCCATTCTGCAAGGGACTTGATGTTATACAACAGGCTCAGTCTGGAACTGGGAAGACAGCAACTTTCTGCTCTGGGATTCTGCAGCAACTTGATTATAGTTTGACAGATTGCCAAGCCTTGGTATTAGCACCTACACGTGAGCTTGCTCAGCAGATTGAGAAGGTTATGCGGGCTCTTGGAGATTATCTTGGTGTGAAGGTGCATGCTTGCGTTGGAGGTACCAGTGTTCGTGAAGACCAACGCATTCTGTCAAGCGGTGTTCATGTTGTTGTTGGTACTCCTGGTCGTGTATTTGATATGCTGCGCCGGCAGTCACTTCGGCCAGATTACATCAAGATGTTTGTATTGGATGAGGCTGATGAAATGCTTTCCCGTGGTTTCAAAGATCAGGTGCTTTTTCACAACTCTTTTTTCACTTTTATTAATTACTCATTTTATATACTGTGTTTGATATGTAATACCTACATATGTTTTGTATTTTTTATATGATAATAGATGAGGTTACATTTACTGCCTCTTTTTCCTTACAATAACCATCATTGTTATCATTGGATTAAAATCAAATCAACGGCTCTCACTTGATGCCATTTTGGAGCCATTGATTTGATTTTAATCTAACAATAACAAAAATGGTTCTAAGAGAAGATTGTAAGAGAAAAGAGGTTGTAAATGTAATCCACCTTTGATAAAATCATCATACTTTGTAAATCTATTTTATTTCCTGATTTATATTTCTGACAGTTTAAATTTTTTTTAAAATTTTCAACTCTTTTCAGACTTAAGATGTTTGTTTTTAATCCATGTAAAATTTCTTATACCATCAGTTATAAATCCAAAACATGAAAGTAAGTTCTTTTATCTTGGTAGTTTAATTTTTCTTGGCCTATTGGTTTAGTGTCTTAAAAGATTTTCTACATGTTTAGTTCAACTTGAATTTGGTGAATAATTGCGCTTTTTTTTTTATTTTTTTAAATAAACTATCAGAAATCTGCAAAAAAATGCTTTTATTTTTCCAAAATAAGCTGAATGTAACACACGCTTTATATGTAAGTGCTTTAACCTTTGCTTTATTGTTATCAGATCTATGATATATTCCAGCTGCTGCCATCTAAGATTCAAGTGGGAGTTTTCTCTGCTACAATGCCTCCTGAGGCACTTGAGATCACAAGGAAGTTTATGAACAAACCTGTCAGGATCCTTGTGAAGCGTGATGAGCTCACCTTGGAGGGCATAAAGCAGTTTTATGTCAATGTTGAGAAAGAGGAATGGAAGCTGGACACACTCTGTGATCTTTATGAAACATTGGCAATCACTCAGAGTGTCATTTTTGTGAACACCAGAAGGAAGGTTGATTGGCTCACTGACAAGATGCGAAGCCGAGACCACACAGTCTCGGCAACCCATGGAGACATGGACCAGAATACCAGGGATATTATCATGCGTGAATTCCGTTCTGGGTCTTCCCGAGTTTTAATAACTACAGATCTTTTGGCTCGTGGTATTGATGTCCAGCAAGTGTCTTTAGTTATAAATTATGATCTCCCAACACAGCCTGAGAACTATCTCCATCGTATTGGTCGTAGTGGGAGGTTTGGTAGGAAAGGTGTTGCCATTAACTTTGTCACAAAGGATGACGACAGGATGTTGTTTGACATCCAGAAGTTCTATAATGTGGTAATTGAGGAGCTGCCATCAAATGTTGCTGAACTCCTCTAATGAGATTTTTTGCTTCCATAATATTAGAGTAAAGTTGGTTTCTGAGGTAAGTGTTATGTAATGTTTGTTTTCCTTTTGCCCCTTTTGTTGTATTTCTGCTGTTAAACCTTGTTTAACCTTTTTAATAGGTGTAGTAATTTAATTTAAATTGTGAGTCGTCTGAATGTCCAAAGTGATAAGTACTTGCAACGTGGATTCTCATTATTGCCCGAATTAGTATATTGGTCGTTGTTCGACAAGTTTTTTAATATACGTTTTAGTTATTCTTACATTTAACATTTAGATAATTTTTTTTTTATTTATATGTATTTAAAGCTGATTTGCTGGCATGGCTCATAAAACGTTGATTTACTGGTGGTGTTGGTTTGCCATGGACTCAATTTGAGGCTCGAGGGGCACGTATTATACTTTTATTTAGGACATTTCGTTCTTTTGATTGCGTCACTTTTACAATTTGAAAATGGTATTAATAAAACGAAACTGGTCAATTGGTAGCATGTTTCTATTGGTTATTATCAACGTTACATACAATATTCTACGTATTGTGAAGCAGCCATTGTAAGGCAAGATATTAGGTGGTGGTTTTCTGCTTTTCATTTGATGGAGATTTTATTTTCACTGTATGGACTGCAATGATTTGTACATAGTACAATAGTCGTAGATCTAGCACAATAATTAGTCGTAGATTATTTTCGCTGGTTGGCATGCATTGATGGAGCACGTAGTTTACTCTTGGGTGCCAAATATTGAAATTTGGCAGATTTTAAAATCATGACGTTGGCTCTCCTTTGAGCAGCTTTACAAGTAATTTGAAATATTTGGTTAGTTAAAAAAAGGGAAATATAAACATAATATTGCCGGAAATTTGATGGGTCATGCTGGAGAGACAAAAGTGTGGGGCCTATCATTCTTTTTTTGACAAAAAAGAAAGAAAGTGCTGCGTTACTTTCCACGAGTCAGCTAGACAAAAAATAAAATAAAATGATCCTCCAACATGATAATTGGAAAACCCTTAAAAATACTGTGCTGGTAATGGTTATATCTGTTGCCATTTTTTTTTATGTGATGTCTCTTCTGTTTAGTTAGAAGAGATTGCCTTCCTACTTACTAACTTTATTTTTGAAATTTCAAGGATGAAAAAAGGAATTGTTAATGCACTTGTACATTAGTTCCAATCCCCAAATAAGTATTGCGAAGGGGATTGAAATTGGTATTCGCCTCCGCGTACATTGAAATTGGTATGCACGATGAGTAACTGAGTTAAAATGTTTATTGGTCATGGGAGACTTGACCTGAGTACACGGCTGTACTTGGGCTATGCCAACTGCGTCTGATAGGGTTTGTAGTTACTTGTGATTAACGTATTTGCTTAGTAAAGGACGGAGCTCGAAGTCGGCTGGCGTCATTGAGCCATTGGTACCATTGCGTTCGCCAGATAAATTTGAAGTTAAAGCCAATGATCAATACTAGTGACAAGAAAACCGATAGCTAGTGTCCGCAAAAAGGCCTAAAGAAAGGAACAAAAGGCATCAAACAATTTGAGGGAACCAGAGTCGTTTTAAGTCTTGCCTGTGCAGCCCATATTAATTTAGAAATAAAAGCCCCGCGGTTACGTTACTGTCATGGGAAAGCGGTGGCTCTTGCGTATTTTCTTTGCTCGGATGGGAATCATTCCAACTGCAGCCTCATACTGTGCTCTGCTTCAATCATTCACAGCCTTTGCCTTCGCAACATCTACTTCTATCTTAAAAAATAATCTAAAATCACAACCAAACAATCACGCAACCCAAAACAAGCAACGGAAAACGAAAAAAGAAGAAGAAGAAAGAATAAAGAAGGCAAAATAATATTTCAAATTCCCCAATTATTGATTTGAACATTATTCTTATCTTCATCACATCACGCACAATCCTCAACAACACCTTCACCCGTTCTTTTTCCTTTAATTTATAACCTAACTCATAAAAAATGCTTAATCTCCCTGACGACATTTTTGGTCTATTTGTTTTTTGGTGTATTAATATTGAAATAGAAGGATTTTAAAATCATGATGTTGGCTCTTCATTTTTAGCAGCTTTACAAATAATTCACAATATTTGATTAGTAATTAACAACGATGTCTTGGTGATTGAAAACGGATCCTTTTATGTTTTATTTAACATGATTATGGCATGTAGCAAAATCCTATTTTTTCTATCTATTCGGTTATCACCGTTGAAATACTAACTATAAAAAGGTAAATTAATGATAATGATTTTGTAACTGTCTATCTCAATATTTTTTCTATCTCTTCTCTTATCACTATTGATTCATATATGTATAATTATGATTTTTTCACGTAGCATAATCATATTAACAACACATAACAAAATCGAATCCCCTTTTTAAAATTTTAAGGCTAGGAAGAGTAAACGTTAATGCACTCATACATTAATATTGGTTCGAGTATGACGATTTTAAGGCTCTGCTTCCGCTTACATTGTTAAAGTACGATGAGTACACAGCCTAAAATCTTTCTTGGTCACTGAGCCTTTACCTGAGCACTTACTTGGGCTGTGTCAACTACACCTGAAAGGGTTTGTAGTAATTTGAACCATTGTACTAGTGTTCGGCAAATAAATTTGAAGTTACAACCAGTGATCAATAAAAGAACCAGGAGTAACATGGAAAAATAATAGCAAGTGTCTATTATTGAGTCAAATGATCTCATATATATATATATATATATATATAGATTTTATTAGTCCCATTTAACATAAGATAATTATCTTATGTTGTAGAGAGAAAATAGGTAGGTCCCACTATTACAAGAAAAAAAATACGAGGTACGAAAATCGAAGTGAGAGAAAATAAGAGATGACATCTCATGTGAAAGATGAGTAATATTTCCCTGTATATATATATATATATATATAGAATTTATATTTATGCAACTGTTGTATGTGTAGCAATCAAATACTTGCTATATATATACTTGAAAGCATTAAATGCATGAAATCATAACCATACAAAGGATGAAAACATTAAATATGAGAAATCATTACCATATACCTGTTGTCGTTGCTGTACGTAAAACGGCTGCAGAAATTATTATTTATATATATATATATATATATATATATTGAGTTAACTCAATCCTAATTACTTCCTTAAGATGAATTGACTCCTCCCAACAAATATCTATTTTATAACCACAACTAAAAGAGAAAAAAAGAACTTCTGAATACTCACGATTCGAATATTACTATGATGTATGAGAATTGATTGGTCAAAATTTTATATGAGGAGATCTTGTAAAATTGTATTTATCTCTTTCTTCAATAATAATATTTGGATTCTATTTATTTAATGTAGGTAAAAAAAAGAAATAAACATAAAAATTAGAGAGCCGTGACGTGTTGAGTTGAGATTTGAAAGTATCACCTAAATAAAATAAGAAATAGGTAAGCATTTTTTTTTGTTTTGAGACAAATTAGGTAAGCCTTGAGAAAGGGACAAAATGCATCCAAAAGTTTTGAGCAAGCTTCAATGTCGTGGCAATTTCAGGAAACATTCATTACACAATAAAAGCCCGCGGTTACGTTACGTGTCAAGTGAAAGCGGTGGCTCCCGCGTATTTTCTTTACTAGGAATCTCGGAATGGGGGGAACCTTCCAAGTGCAACCTCATCCTGTGTGCTCTGCTTCAATGCATTCCTTCACCATCTTCCCCCTTTCTCATTGTCTACTTCTTATAAAGCTCCCCATCACAAACAAACAAACAATCAATCACACACCCCAAAACAAGTTCAACGAAAAACGAAAATAATTAGATAGAAGAATGGGCAAAACAAAACAATATTCCCAAAGTCTCCAACTAGTGATTTGACCATTATTCTTCTCATATATGCCCCTTCTTCTTCGTTACTTACACCACGCATTCCTCTATTTTTTTTTTTTATCTTATTTATGTATAAAAAAAAGTGCTTATTATCCCTTCGATAAATTTCGCTTTTCTATCGCACGACCTCGTTTCGAATCTTATTTTAATAATTGATTCTGATTCTTCTCTTCTCTTCTTTTTTTTTCCCTTTCTCTCTTCTCCATCTCTCTCTCTCTCTATATATATATATATATATATATATATATATATAACAGACTCGCAGTCTTTTGCATAGAAGGTATTGTTTGCACCGTCACGTGTGTGCTGTGTGGAGACAGAATAAACAACCGTTTCTCGTGGCCGATGGCGATTTCCGATGTGCCTGACACCGCGACCTCCACCGTCGTCGCCGCTGCCATCCAAAGTGACTCAGATCTCAGACGGCCTTCTCTGCGGCGTAGGCCCAGCGCCACCTCGACTGGCGGCTTGTTCGACGGCGAAAGTGCAGCTGAAGATGCGGTCAGAGATTCAGGCTCCGACGAGTCCTTGAAAGGCAAGAACAGCGAGGAGGATAAGGATCGCAAGCTGGATCATGCAGCCAATGATGACGCAGTCGTCAATAACATAACTGATCGAGAACCAGTCATCGATTTCAAATTCACTTACCGTCCCTCGGTTCCCGCTCACCGGAAAATCATGGAGAGCCCCCTAAGCTCCGACAACATTTTCAAACAGGTTAATTTCTCGCGCTCATGGAAAGTTTCGTGGTTCGTAATCCACTGAATTGACAGAAATTTTTCTGTAAATGTAATTCGTCGTATTACATTGACGACATAAATAGTTTCCAAGATTTTGTGGTCCTAAATCGTAATAATAATGTGATAGGTTATTCTGCCTTTTTTATTTTTTTTCGTATCACCTTTCAAAATTGTTAGATCAAAATCTCAATTAATTCTTATTATTTCTTTCTCATCCAGAGAGTATTAGATAAGATAGACATGAAAATAAAAAAGTTAACTAGAATAATCTATCCCAACTTTCAATGGTAGTATGCCATATAAAAATTTAAAAATTTAAAAATTTTAATATAGATTTTACCACCCTGGACTAAATTTCCTAGGTTTGTCACTTTTGGTCGCATGCTATTTGTTTCTGTATGTGTGCTGGTTTGTTAACTTGACCAATTTTGTATGTTTAATTAAATAAAATGGGAGATTCAAGTTTTTCCAACCTACTGTTAGTTAAAGGGGTATGCCTAGCTGTTTATATTTCTTTTGGCCTCATCTATAACTGTTTTCTTTTGCTATTAGTTATTAATGAATGAATTACAGAGTCACGCAGGACTGTTCAATCTCTGTATAGTAGTGCTTGTTGCGGTGAACAGCAGGCTTATCATTGAGAATATAATGAAGGTTTGCCTCTTCCATTTACTCTTGATGTCTATCCTGCAAGATTTGAATTTCCAACATGTAAATATGCATTTATCTGGATGCGAAGCTTTAACTTTATGACCTTCATTTTGACAGTTTTTTCCTTTTCTTTTCTTTCTTTCTTTCTAAACTTTTTGTTTTTATATTTTATGTTTTGCAGTATGGTTGGTTGATTAAGTCTGGATTTTGGTTTAGTTCAAAATCGTTGAGAGATTGGCCCCTCTTTATGTGTTGGTAATGAGTTTGATGAATCCCCTTAAAAGTAGACTGTGTTTTGTGTATCTTTTTGAGGATTAGTTCTGAAATTGTCATTTGGCATTCTGTAACAATATTTATGCTTCTTTTGCAGCCTTAGTCTTGCAATATTTCCACTTGCTGCCTTTATAGTAGAAAAGTTGGCACAACAAAAGTGTATTTCTGAACCAGTAAGTGATCTAGCCAAGGAGGCTTTTATTATATTTCATGGCGAACAAATATTCTGCAACCACATCAATTATTGTTGTATAAGTAACAATATTTTCAGAATATAATTAATTGTGGTCTGATATTCTTAATCGCAATTTTCAATATTTACATACGTGGGAATGTTGACGAATATTGCAGGTTGTTGTTCTACTTCATGTAATCATTACAACTGTTGCATTCTTTTATCCCGTTTTAGTTATCCTCAGGTCAGTATAGACTTCAAAATTTATTACAGGGGTTCAATTTAGACCCTCTTTTCACATTTGTGATTATACCATATAAAATATCAATTTTGGAAGGATTTGCTAACATAGTATAAGCTTAAGTTGATAAATTATGTCATTATCTAGGAAGAAAGTTTAAAGCATCATTTTTACAATATTTGATAAGAGATTTAAAGCCCTTTGGTTAACCTCATTTTAATGTTTGATTCATACAATGTTGAAGTTAAATTGTCTTGCAAATTATTATCATCAGAACGACAAGGTTATGTCAAGGAAAAATTGAAAACAACCTTGCTGCTTCCTTATATTTACTAATGTGATGAAGGCAGCAGCCTAGCCTGTTGAAACTAAATAAGGAGTCGTCTTCCGTCAGATGTGATTGATTGACATCCATGTAACAATTACAAGCCCTTAACTAACTATAAGATCTTGGTAAATCCCTGTGTTCCCATGAACAGAAAAGGTTATCACATTTCAGGCATTCTTTTTAGACAGTGATTTTCCATATGATGGATACAGTAAAGAAGTCTGCTTGATGGATAAAATAACTATAGTCTAAAGTACTTGGTCATTTCATAGATATCTATATATCAAAGATATCTTATGGATCTGTTGCTTTTCTGTACAGGTGTGATTCTGCTTTTGTATCCGGTGTCACATTGATGCTATTTACTTGCATTGTATGGTTAAAATTGGTGTCATATGCACATACGAACTATGATATGAGAACACTTACCGCTTCAAATGAAAAGGTAGTGGTTAACTTCCCTTTGTAAGTTAATAGATTACTGCTATAGTGCGTTGTTTTCACATTTTTTTTTTTTGAAAAATAATATATTTAAATGAGAGGATATGCTATACATTTTATGTGATGGTTAGTTTTCAAACAGGAACATACTGCATGACCAACTGTAGTCTGTGGTTCTTGTGTTCTAATACTAAATCACTTCCCAAATTACAGTTTAGTTTATGATTATTAGAATAACATCCATCCTTCCTTCTTGCTGCATCCTGACATTCGGCTATAATCTGTTCAGATTAGTGACAGATAAAAGTTCTGTTTTTGCTCCTTATTCAATTAAGTTCCCTGTGTTATAGGGAGAAACATTGCCCAATGCTTTGAATATGGAGTACCCATACAATGTGAGCTTCAAGAGTTTGGCATACTTCATGGTTGCTCCTACATTATGCTACCAGGTAGGAGAACTTTAAGTGAATTATTTATTTTTGTACTTTTTGTTTGCTAAAGTATTTTGATTTTTTATTGTTGCTTTGTTTGAATTCATATCTTTCATTGACATAGCATTTGCACACTTTTTTTTCCTGATTGAAGCACATAAACATAAAAGGCACTGTTTTATGGGCTTATTTGCAGCTATATCTTTGGTTTGGAATGTGTTTGAGGCTTCCAGTTAGAGGTCCAGTCAGGATCTGTCACACACACATAATTACACAGTTAGGAATTAAATTCTCATCCAACAACAATATTGCTCTGTGACCGCTTGATTAGTGGGATTTGTCCAAATGACTTTGTTGTCTTATTCTATCATTTGGAAAATCTCTTCATTCCTGTTCTTATCTTTCTTTTTTATCCCTAGATGTTTCCAATTTGACTTCATTCTTTTCAGATGCAATAATCCCTCTCTCTCTCTCTCTCTCTCTCTCTCTCTTGTGGGCATGCCCTTAGACGGCCAACATTTTGTAACATTAAGCACTGTGTAATGAAATCTGTAGCAGAGCTCCCAAAATTCACTATCCTGCTTCACTTTTATCCTCCATTCATACTAAATTTCCAACATACGTCCCCATTGTAATGAGCTAGTTTCTAGCCCAGATTCTGTTAGTTACATCTCCCTCAATCCATTAATTTTGATGGAGTAAAACAGGACATTTTGATCTGATCACATTTTATCCTGCTGGTTGTTTCTCATTTTATATGCATAGGTGCTAAGGGTCTCCCAAGGGACCTCAGCTTCTGTTATTTTTAGTGTTTCTATGTAAGAATTGCACTCTTTATTATATTCATCACTTAACCAATAGGGGATGGGCAAGAAGAAATCTGTATTATCAAATTATGTTCATCATGGTAGGACTAAGTTGCAGAATTTTGCCAAACTTTCTTTTAGAAGAGTAATTTCTACTGTTCACTTGTTTTTGCATTTGCCAAGATAAGTGTATTTGTGAATTAAACTTATTCTGAGAGAAATTTCTGACATTGTTTTTACTCACATGTATTTTATACTTTTATTTCCTATGTAATGAATTGCTGTTATAGCCAAGCTATCCCCGCACACCTTCCATTCGGAAGGGTTGGGTGTTTCGTCAACTCATCAAGCTGATAATATTTACAGGAGTTATGGGATTTATAATAGAACAAGTAAGCAGTAGCTGTTAATAAATTTAATGGTCATTTCTACCCTTTTTTCCCTTTAATTTTCAATTCATTAATTCTGCAGATATTCTGATTTTATCATCGTTTTATTAATAATTTTGCAGTATATGAATCCTATTGTCCAAAATTCACAACATCCTTTGAAGGGAAACCTGCTATATGCCATCGAGAGAATTCTGAAGCTTTCTGTTCCAAATATATACGTGTGGCTGTGCATGTTCTACTGCTTTTTCCACCTTTGGTGTGTATTTTCTCTTTGTTTTGGTTCAAATACATATATATTCTTTAAAAAACTGTTAGCATGAAATTGCCTTTACTCACCTTAAATTGAAGAATTGTAGCTCTAGTCTTTTGTGTTTATTGCCTTGAAAGTAGTAGCGCATCAGTGCTAGCATAAGCCAAAACTTGACTTATTTCTCGGCAATGTTGTAATGATGATGCTTCTATGAGTATGAATGTTATCGCTTAATTTTTGAAACTGTCCTCAAGATGATATCAATATCCAGCTTCTTATACACCCAAAGAGTAATTGCAGCGTTGATGGGTAGAACTAGCTGATTTAAAGGTGTGTGCATGGCGAGATTGTAGTTGTCTGAAGAATATGCTTCTTAAGATGTAAGATTAGTTTTATGGCCTCTCTTTACTGCACTGCTCATGGTGATTTTAAGTGGGTCTCTCTTATAGATATGCAAAGTGTCGAAAATTGTTAGGGAAAAGTAAGCGAGAGACATGTGATGGAATCTCTGTCTCAATTGACAACAGAGGCCGAAGTATGTAGCGAGGAAGTAATAAATAGAAATATCACAACTATCCCAATTATTGTAATTAAATAATTTGGTTAGTCTATACCATGAATCTAGACACTCTTGACATACTTTCTTTCCAAGAGTTCCCTCAAGCTGTAGCATATAGATTATATGCACTAAGGTTATCAAATCTTGAATTGCCAAATTAATTTTAAATCTTAGTAAAAAGATGGTTGAAATATATCATATAAATGATATATAGTGCTCAATGTAATAGCTTCAAAATAGGAATTGACTTAACTTTAAAATTGATAAAACAACTTAACCGTAAGTCTCAAAATAAAATCATAAATCTTAAGTCATAACTTAGTCACAACAATGATATAGTTAAGTCTGATGCTTATAGAGTGAGCAAATGACTTTGTGAAGCCTTTGTTTCAGTAGAATGAAATCAAAACAATGGAATAATCAAAGAATGAAAAATGAGCATATTTGTTCAAATGGTCAGCAACAACCATGATGGCATCATACCCTTTAGACTTAGGTGAGAATGAAATCTATCCTTAATTCTTCCCAAACAACATTGGGTATTGGCAATGGTTGCAAAAGGCTTGGTAGTGACAAGGACTAATATTTGTTACTCTGGCATATGTGGCAAGCAGCCATAAATTCTGTTAATGTATCTTTCATTCAAACCCTGAATACAGATTGTGCCAATCTTCTATAAGCGCGAAATATCCCTGAATGCCCTCCTGTGGGAAAAGTGTGAAACTCTTGCAGTAAACGAGGAATCCTTGTAAATTTCGTTGATAGCACCATTCTGCCCTTATAATGCAATCAGTCACCTTCTAAAGTGTAGGAAGGGTGGGAGTTGGGATCATCCACCAAGTCTCTTATAATACCATATAACAAAGGATCTTACTTCACTTCTTGGTTAATTAAGGAAGCATCTTACCAAATCGGTTTTGATATGATATTAAGCTCAACTTTGGCATCCCTCCTTGATAATGTATTAGCTACCTTGTTGGAAGACCCCACTTTATATAGGATATCAAATTCGTAGCTTAACAATTTTGCTAACCAATTCTGTTGGCTCTGGGTAGTCACTCTCTATTCTTACAAGTATTTTAAGCTCCTTTGGTTAGTATAGACAATGTATTTGCACGTCAAGAGGTAAGGCCTCATATGCTGAAAGGAAAAGAACAGGGCCATGAGCTCTTTCTCATATACTGATTTATTCAAAGATGCAAGAGCCGAGCCTTTGTTGAAAAAGCTATGGGATGTTTATCCTGGGACAACATTGCCTTCACTTCAGCCTTAGAAGCATCATACTCAATAGTTAATGGCTTGGAGAAATTTGGATGAAAGGCAGGGACTTCTGTTACTTGTTACTGCTGTTTAAGACTTTCAAAATCTTGCATTGCTGCTTTAGACCACCCAAAATTGCCCTTCCTCAGTAAATTGGTAAGAGATCTTTGATCTTTCCATAATCTTGCACAAAACGACAATAATGTCTTGTTAAACCCAGAAATCCTCATAATTATTTAACAGTCTTTGGGGCTAGCCACTGAATTACTGCTTCTACTTTTGTGGGATCCATGGAAACGTCCGGAGGGAGACAATATGTCCTATATATTTCACCTTAGTTCTACCAAAAGTACATTTCTTTTTATTGGCAAAGAATTTGTGTTGGCTGAGAGTGGATAAAACTGCTTCTAAATGAAATAAATGATCCTCTCACATCTTGCTATACACAAACTTTCCTAAGAATGCCTTCAGAGTTGAATTTATAGCACATTAAAATGTGGCAGGGGCATTAGTCAAATCAAAGGGCATTCCTACATACTCAAAATGCCTTTGGTGAGTCCTAAATGTTGTTTTTGGGATGTCTAAGTCATGCATGTGAATTTGGTGATAACTTGGTGGTAACCAAATTTTTTAGGTCTATCTTAGAAAAATAAGTGGCCCCAAATAGCTTATCTAACAACTTTTCTATTCCTAGTATAGGGAATTTTTTCAAGAACCGTAACCTTGTTTAGGGTCCTATATTCTACACAAAACCTTCAACTCCCAATTATTTTTACTAGGAAAATAGGGCTGGAAAATGGACTATTACTAGGGCGAATAATCCAGTTGACAACGTATGTGATACTTATCTCTCTATCTCATTTTGTTTTAAATGAGCATACCTTTAGTGTTGCACGTTGACAGGTCCTTCTCCATCTTGCAAGGGAATTTTGTGATCCACATCTCTTCTTTTTGGTTCTCCAAATAATGACTCATACTTTTGGAGTACACCTTGTACCTCCTGCTGTACTAACAGATCACTATTAATCGGGAGACATTCTCATATTTATTACGTCTTCTTAGTGGTGCATAATAACGTGACAGCCGCAATTTCAATTTCCTTTGTCTTGGATATAGCCTTTGAGGATAGGATGGTCCTTGACAATTTGGGATCTCCTCGAATGAGAACTTGTTGACCCTGCTTATAGAATGTTATCTCCAAAGTTCGCCGGTTGGTACGAACTTCTTCCAATGCTTCTAACCAAGATACTCCCAAAATAATGTTTGCTCTCAAATAAGAATTATAAAATTCTACCTTTGCTCCATGATATCCCAGAACCACCTCCACATTCGGACAATACCCTTGTGAAAATATCCTTTGCCCTTCCCTAATCTTACCCCAAAATGTGGTTTCTCATCTACTGGAATGGCCAGACTTTCCACCAAACATCGAGCTATAAAATTATGGTTGGCCCTATTCTCAACTTCATGGTTCTGGGTGGTAGCATTCCCCCCCGCAGAGACATGCGAGAGAGATAGTCATCGACAAGCTATCTCTGGTATTTCCCTGTCCCTATCTTCATCGTGCTCCATAATGGTCATTTGTTGCTGCTCACTACTACCATCGTTTTCTTCATCCTCACCCATGATGGTGACTCGTAAAAATTTTTCTAGGCGTTTGTGGCCTGGACTGAACGGAAGCCTGCAATGAAAGCAGCGTCCTTCCTCTTTTTGTTTGAGATACTCATTGTAAGGTAGATGATGCACCTCAGCTTTGAATTTCTTGTTTCAGTTCTCCCAAAAATTAGCCAAGTAATTCTTCCTATGTGGTTTGAGCTGCTTGGGCCACGAGGGCCTCAAATTTCTGTACATGCTCATCGATTGCCCCTTCTTGCCTCAACATCGTCAACCTCTTGTAAATGCTCCCTGATGTTCTTCCACTATACGGCTGCACCATCGCTGTTGCGAGCCCTACCTACTTCAAGTTTGGCATTTTCTTTTGAAGGAAACAAAATCAATAAATGGTGCTTCCTTCCATACTTACAAACACAAGCTGCATCCACTCATTTGCGAGTATCTTTTACACATTGAAAATCAGAGTCGCCCTCAATGACACTAACTCCTCATTTTATACAACTTCTCCCAATACCTTTTCTAACTAGCTAAACTCTTAATTGCCTAACCATTTGTTAACAGTACTTTCTCTTTGGTTCTTCTTAAATAGACTTCCCATGTGGATGGTTGATCACCACTCTTAATCCCAGTCGTAACACAAACCCCGTAAAGGTATTGAGTGTTATTGGTATAAAGAACCTTGGCCTACTCCCTGACTAACTTACAACAGGTGACGTGGGCGCAAAAAAACTACTTCAAGGATGGATGATGGTGGATTTGATTACGCTGCATAATTGGGTGTCGATCTTAGTCCACCTTGAGGGCTTGTTGGCAGCAACATAGTCATTCTTAATGATGAAGTGGTTGGCGTAGTTTTTCCTAATAAGCCAAAGTTTGATATCCGAAGCCCATGTGTTATAGTTGATCCCATCCAACTTGTCAATGGAGAAAAGGGAGCTAATTTTGTTGATGAATACAGGAGATTCAGCATTCAAAGTATCTTTAGGGCCATTAGAAGAGCCGGATGTAGCCTTGGGCTAGGCAGAAAAGTGAAGAATAAGACTCAACAAGGAAATGACAGTATTGAAGGGGGACAGGTCCAACTATAGGACAAATGGAAAAAGGGAGTATAGATCTAGGTAGAGGGTAGAGAGGCAAGCACAACGGTGGAAGTGGTAGTCAAAACAGAGCTCTAAAGAGTTGCCACTAGTGGCTAGATATGGTAGCAGTGGGGGAGATCCAAGAGTTTTTTTTGGTGAAAGACGGCTTGTGACAAATGATCTTGGCCAGGCCTCTTAGGGTCTGGACGATTTGGGGGAGGGGTTGCATCTGGTGGTGTTGTTGGCTTGAAAACATGTCAAACGATGGCTAGAAAGAGGCATTAGGTTGTCGGAAGGATGACATGGTAATGAAGGCTGAAAACTGGAGTTTAAACACGGTTTTTGGAGGAAAAAATTTACTAATGGGCAGTGGGTTCATTAGGCACGCAAGGATTAGGGTTGCCTTTTGTCAACCTCGAGATGCTATGTTAAGGGGAAAAAAAGCAAGAGACGTACAATGGAATCCGTGTGTTTCAAATATATTGAATTATGTAGCCAAAAAGTAATAAATGAAAATATCACAACTATCATAATCATCGTAATTACATGATTTTGTTAGCCTACATATAATGAATTTAAACACTATTTACATAAAGAGAAAAGGGGTACTCAATGTAAGAGGGTTGTTTTGATATGGTGTGAAGTGATGTGCTGCAAAATATTGACCCAATGTTCCTATTTAGACTAATAATTAGGTTAAGTAATAGTGTAGTACTATTAGTACAAGCCCATGCCCACTAATATAATTAGACTACAAACTCTAATTAAATGAGTAATAAATTACGAAACATAATAAAATTGTGAAACAAAGCCTAAGATTGCTTCCTGAATTAGATAACTAACTGATTCCACAATATATTCTAAAGATATTTTGCATTATTCTAAAGATATTCTAAAATATTCCAAGTTGCATGGAGGATATTCTAAGATATTAACACTTCCCCTCAAGCTCAAGCTAAAGCTTACTAAATTTTAATCTTTTTACAAATAAACACACTAAAAGAAAATAATTGTAAAATAATTTGGGCTCCATAAGCTATAGCTAAATAAACAACTCAAGAATGTTGGAGATGCTGAGAGAGGCAATACACAAGATGAGAACTGATATGACGTGCATGCAAAATAGCTAGTTAGAAAGTTGCTTGGCATTGGAAAGATACACGATAGAAAAGACAGCACTGCATAGATGAGCAGAAGAAAGGTCCTAACAAACAATCAGGTAGAGCAATGACACTTCTTCAAACTAATCAAGAAATCACCACTGATAGGTTACTACTAGTAAGATTGTCAGAGGGTAGAAAAGTCACTGCCAGATTGATTGTCAGTAGGAAAAGATGTCTTGGCAGGAAGGATAGTGAGCGGGAAGATTTGTCACCGTAAGAATGATTCATCTGTGGTTAAAAATTGCATCTTTAGGTTCTAGCACTCTCTTTCAATGCAAAGCTGGCATGGGAAAATCAAGAGTATTACCATATAGGGGAAGAGAGAAAAGATAAATATTTTAGTCAATTTGACAATAAATGCCAAACAAAGTCAAATGGCTTGTCCAAAGCTAAAGAGTGCCAAACAACGAGAAAATGGGCAACCCAAATGTGAAGAACCCATCAAATAAAGGCTAACGTTTACCAATTGAATTACATCAATCCAAAATATTTTTTACCTTCTAAACACTGATGTTCTACCATGTTTCTTTCTCAGCCGCCATCATCAGCACATGAAAGTGTGTTGACCTTCTTTTGGTTGGTTTTTGGGCTAAACATATGAAGATTATACTGATATGGTGTTTTACGAAATATAGATCCAATGGTTCTTTTTATATGAATGATTAGGTTTAGACGTTTAGTACTACTAGTACAAGCCGAAAACCACTAATATTATAACTCTACCAAGTACTAGCCCTAATGAATTAAGGTAGTAAATAAGAAAACATAATAAAATTAGGAATCAATGCCTAAGATTGCTTCCTCAATTAAATAACTAATTGATTCCACAACATAGTCTAATAATATAAAGATATTCTAAATATTCTAATTGGAGATATTCTAAGATATTATTTAGATATTCTAACACGAGGGAAATGGAGAGCTTTACTTTGTTTGATGGGATTACGGACATATGCTGTGAGCTGTGAGGATATCTTATTCTTCTCTTTACTCTTACCCTTTTTTCTCGTGGATAAATTTCTTCTTTTATGAAAATAGTTTAGCTCTGTGTTTGCATGCACAAGTGCTTACCGATCAAGTTCTGATCTCTGTCTTATTTATAGATATTAAAAGTAAAGCCTCTTTTTTTTTTTAATTTGAGTAATATATGTGACAATTTATCCTTAGATCTTCTGTTGCAATGTAGGTTAAATATACTTGCAGAGCTTCTACGATTTGGTGATCGTGAATTTTACAAAGATTGGTGGAATGCCAAAACTGTTGAAGAGGTAGGCTCTTTGTCCAGGCGTGTTCTTAGTTTCTTTGGTTAAAATACTTCCATGAAGAGAAACTTGTGACTTGTCTTTGTTGAATGCATTTCTGCTGCTGCTGTCATCAGTATTGGAGGATGTGGAACATGGTAAGTTTTCTTTTCAAACTTTCCTCAGCAAAATGATGCGGTGGTCTATTTTTTGGACGAATATATATATATATATATATATATATAGGGAAAAAATAAAATATATATATATATATATATATATAGAGAGAGAGAGAGAGAGAGAGAGAGAGAGGATGAGGATCATTTTATATCAGTTCAAGTTACAATCTCAATTTTAGCCGTTGATCCAACTTATATCTAACAACTCTAATTTTTTAGTTGTGTGAACGATACAAGTGAATTAATAACCAAGAATGAGTGTAAATTTATTTTACACTAATATAAGAATAATCTGTCCCATATATATATATATATACTACTGAGGTATAACTATGGTTGATATATGAGGCTAATTTAACGAAAGAAGGAATTAGGAAGAAATGTAATTTTTTTTTCCATTTATTACTTTCTGGCTTACCTTTCCATTATTTACCGAATATATGGTTCTGAAACCATGTCAGAGCATATCAGAAATTGTTTAGTAACTTTCATATGTAGTTCTAATCCATTACTATTCAACTGAGTGGATTCTTTTATATTGCAGCCTGTGCACAAATGGATGGTTCGCCACATATATTTTCCATGCTTAAGGAAAGGTATACCTAAGGTAATCATGCGTCCTCCTATCTTGCTGAGTGGATCCTAACTATACTTTCTAAGCAAGTTTTGGGCGAAAATGAAAAGTTTGTCTTCTATATGGAGTAGTGGTAAAACTACTACCTTGTAATTGAAAAGTCAATGGTTTGAATATGGAGAAGAGTTTTTTTTGCACATATGCAAGGATAAGACTGCTTACAAGGATTGTCCTCACCCCTACCTTGTTTTTTGTGTTTAATGTGGATTTATATTTTTTATTTTTTAAGGAATACTATATAAAGGTAATGCACCCTCCTATCTTGCTGAGTGAACCGTAAACAATAGTTTCTAAGAACATTTTAGGCGTAAATGAAAAGTTTGTCTTCTATCTTTGGGATATAGTTAGTCTATCAGTATCAATATTAACAACACCTTTATACCTAGCCAATTGGAGTCTGCGGTTGATGAAGCCAAATAAAATATGTAAAACATAATTTATAAATATGCTATATAGTTAATGTAAAATTAAATAAATAAAATTTATGCACTGCTTGTATGTTTTGATATGTTTGGAGTAAGAAGGAACTTGTTTGGATAATCTTGTTTTTTACATCAAGCAAGTAAATGTTTTCAATTGCTTAAAATAATCAACAGAATGTACAATATCCTGGAAACTTATGTTCGCTTTAGACCCTCATTTCATCTTTTTTCTTGTTCCCTCAATTTTTTACCTTTGCTCAAATGTTCATCCCATATTGAATACTATGTTCTCTGTGGAAAGTTCTCATCTGATAGACAATATTCAAACGTGGTACGTGTACTAACATGCATACAACTTACAGACAATATTCACTTTAGATATTAACTCTGGCATATGTGCTAAGATGCATTTATGTAGATTGACATAATTAAACAAGAACAGGAGAGGATCTCGCTTTATTTTTCTCATGTTCTATAACCTTGTTGTCCTTTGTTTTTTGGATCTTTGCTTTCAGCGATTTGCTATTGACATTCTTGTTTCTCACTGACTGATATTTGGATTGGATTTTCTTTTGTTAAAGATTGATATTATGCTTTTCTTAGTTCTAGACTTGTTTGTGATTGTGATTTTTATCGTACACAGGGTGCTGCTGCATTAATTGCCTTCCTGGTTTCTGCTGTGTTCCATGAGGTGCGTGGTTCATCTCTCTTTCAATCTCCCCCTCTGTCGTCTCTCTTTTGGTAGTTTAGTAAAATGGCTGATCAAAGTTGTGGAGAAGCTTGCATTCCTTTTATTATTAGGGTTCTATTTTTCTCATGTTGTAGGAGATAAGTATCTCCTACTATAGATACATAATATGGTGGAGCCCACCATCCATTAAAAAAAGAAAAAAGAAAAAATGATGTCATAATTTTTTATGTGAGAGAAACATGAGATAGTTATCTCATGTAAAATGAGACAATTATTTCCCTTATTATTATTATGAAAATGTTTACCCAATGGGTGTAGGTTGCAGTGGTTGTTTGAACTCCAAGTTCGAAAGTTCAATCCATAGCTTTGGTCTTTATCACATCCGGTCAAAATTGCGAAAGCAATATATATATATATATATATATATATATATATATATATATATATATACTTTAATATTTCTATAGTGAATGTAGATAAGTTATCTATATTTAATCTCAAAACTACATCATTTTGGGTTGAAAAATTATATTGAGAAAGACTATTATAACCCTGAAATAAATTATAATTACAAAAATACCTTGATTTCCGTCCCAAAACGACGTCGTTTTGGACTCAATGTAGATAACTGACTGCAGAAAAAACGAACCCATATATCACAAAATAAAAAATGTTTAGGGTGAGGTGGTATCCCATTCCTAGGCATTTGTTGAATCTGTAGGGATATTTCCGTTGATCTCACTGCGTAGGTATTTTTATTTTTGTAATAAATTTAAAAATATAAATCATTTTATTTTATTTTAAAAAATTAGACATAATTAATAATTAATTAAGATAAAATCTTTAAAACATATATTAAAAGAAAAAATGTTATTATAAAGAAAATAAGTACAACTAATTTAAAAGAATTTTGAACTTAAAAAGAATAATAAGCATTGTTTATCTTTAGTAGTAGTAAGCATTGTTTTAAAACTCAGACCGGTCATCGACTCGGTCGAGGTATTAGGTCAGTGGTTTAACCGGGTTCAACTGGATTTCAGAATAATATATAATAAATATTAAATTATGAACATTATGTCCAACAAATAATAGTCTAGTGGTAAGCCTTCCGATCTCAAACAAGGGGACTCAAGGTCGAATCTCGTTGCTTGTAAAATGTATATATTTTGCACAATTTAACATAAAACCGGTTGAACCGGTTTGGGTGTATAACCGATCCGATGCCCACCTCGAACCGGTGGGGGTATCGGGTTATTGAAACCCGGATCGATCCGAACGGGTGGGTTATTTTGATTATTTTGTACAATTATAAACTACTTGTATATATTTTAGGGAAAAATATTTTTCTAGTCACTGGAGTTATCTTTTTGGGATTATAAGATTAAAAAATTATAATTATAAAGACTAATATAACCTTGTAATATATTAAAATTATAAAAACACTTTGATTTTCGTCCCAAAACGGCATCGTTTTGGGTTCACCGGAGATAACTTGTCTCCATTGACTAGAGAAATCCTTTACCCTATATTTTAATTTAAAATTAAAAAGAGAGGTTGTAATTAGAGATTAAATTGTAGAGGCAGGTTATACTTACAATCTCATTTTAAATTTGAAAAAACTTTCATTAAAAAACAGGGTATTGAAATTTGAAAATAGATTAAAAAATAGAAAACAGCTAATAAATAGGGAATCTGAACATCATCTTAAAAAAAAGGTGACGAAATACTCTTTCACTCTATTCAGCATATTATTAATTAACCTGGGTCTATCTTTATTAGTAGTAGTAAGGGTGCGTTATCTTTGATTATTTTGTACAATTATAAAAGACGTCTTAACGGTAAGTGACTGTTCAAGTCATGATCTCTGTTCTTCACCGTTTGGGTTTATGTCTTTCTGTTAATATGACATCAGAGTTTCTAGAGATAGACCCTAGCTTGTGTTAACCTTTCCTACTTGGCCCACTGCCAGCAACAACCAAACCTTGTTTTCCATCTTGAATTCTTACCGGTATTGGATATGTCTTCATTCCTCAAGGTTCTTTGCTCACGACCTTTCCCGTTCAACTTAGAGGCTTCTGATTGGAAAAATCCAGGAGCCACGTCACTAGCCAATGCCGCACACCTCCTTGCTCCAGTCATCTTGGCACGTAGTTGTCATTCTCTCCATGCTGATAGGTAGCCAAAGGCAGCCCATGACAGGGAGGTCTCTATTAATGGGCTGAACGATAAACCACCACAATAAGAAGATCTGACACCACATCTCAACTTAAAATCTTAAGGTATTGGGAGTTTATAGGTCCTTTAATTTATGTGTTCCTTGCTTAGCTTAGATCATTTCTACCCGACGCAGGACTTTATCATTTATACTTGAATTCCTGACAATTTCCCCTGGTGTGAGTACCAACATTTGTATGCTCAGTTGGGCAAGTGGCCTCAAAAGCTTGTTAAGAACAAGTATAACTCTTGGGGGTGAATAAAGTAATCAATTTTTCACACAATCCCTGGTTCACAAGTTCTAGCAAGCAATTAGTAATCAACCAAGCAACCGCACAAGTGACACCTATGACTATTAATAAAAGAATAATAGAAAGGCCCATTACAACCCAATCTAATTACCTACAACTATCTTAATATGATTACAAAAACAAATTTAATATACCAAAATGAAAAATATGATTGTGCTTTTTTCGCCAATCTGCTCTTATTATTGCAGTTACTGATTCCTAGGAAAAATTCAATATTATTGACATTACGGATATACCCTACTAGCAATGGATGATAAATAAAAGTCAAAATCTGTCTTTTTTTTTCCTTTCAAAGAGTAGGCTTCCTTAATAGGTGTGTTTCATTCTCTTTGATCTTATCTTTGATTGCTTTTTATAAAGTCACACCGGTAGCTAGTGCTTTCCATATGAGAAACCCTAATATACTCTTGTTGGCTCCAAATACTTCTCAAAGGTTTCAAGGTGATGGAATGGTCACTTCTTGCCCTAGCTTATAAGGTTGAAATGATTTTTTATATGGTATTAGAGCCTTCATGACCAAGTGGTCACGAGTTCGATCTTTACCGTTTCCATTCTATTAATAAATAATTAAATATTATGGAGTCTTTTAGCACATGTAAGTGGATTTATGCATTGTTCACCCTTAAAGCCCAAGGGGCTATTGTGTGAGGAGGTGTGTTAGAGAAATATATATAAAACTATTGATGTGACCTTTACTTAATGGCTTAATCTTTTGGATTGAAATGGTTCTTCCCAAGTTGAATCCAGTTAGATTCAGCTTAATCAATTAAGCTTCTGTTATTTCTTCTTGATCTTGGCTCTGATACTTAAAGGCACACCGGTAACTCCATTGCTTTCATCTTTCGGTCCTCATCTCTTTAGACCTTGGGTACTTGATTCTGTTGCCTCATACCATATATCTAGTAACAAGCATCTTTTTTCTACCATAACCTGCCCATTAGAAGTATGGTTTGACATACTTGAGGAGACTGGCATGTTAAATGCTAGCCCTGTGATACTCTGATGAATCTCAATATTAGACTTCTTCCAAGTCAGAGACTGATTGGGAATCTCCTTTCTTGTGATTGTGGTTTAAATTCTAAGGGATATCAAGGGAGCACAACAAAAGGGAATTTTCTATGAAGATAAGGGACATACTCAAGTAGTGAGCTTTGGGAAAGTTCTCCCTTTGATAGGTACTCTACTTTTGCTTAATGTATGTTTATTGGAGGTAACTTGATTTCATGGAAAAGTAAAAAACAGAGGTCGTTCCCTGAGCTAGTACTGAAGGAGAACGTAGAGCTATGACTGCTGCAACATGTGAAATTTCTGGTAAAACAGTTGCTGAAAGAACGTCAGTTTGGAATGACCATTGTGTGATAATCAAGCTACCCTACATATTGCCTTAAATCCTGTCCTTCACGAAAGAACTTAACATATTGAAGTTGATTGTCTTAAATCGGAAAACATTCATTTGGGTGACATCATCACAACCTTTGTCAACTTGAATGGCCGGCTTGCTGACATCCTCACAAAATCCAATAGAGGACACCAAATTTGTTAGATATATATGCTCAGTTTGAACGGGAGTCTTAGATATATAGGTATATTTTGTTTGTCTTAATGTTTTAGTTATGTATCCTTAGCTTTATGTGTTATTATTTATATTGTTTTCTACAACCGGAAAAGCTTGTAAAGCAAGCTCTTTTTTACTTTATAAAATTCAAAGCACGGTGACTGAGCAAGTCACGAACTTTATTCCTCACCTTTCGGTTTATCTCTTTCTATTATTAGCATTAATCCTGAAATATTCTTTCTGGCTTTCTCTTTGGCAGTGAGTGTAACTGTGGGGGAGAGGATTGAGAATTAGATACAAATTTGTGATTGGTTTGATAGAACTAAGACAATAGTAGTCTTTTGAGCTGTCCAAAACCATGATGGTCTCATTGATTTAATCAAGAGCTACCAACACCTGTAGTATCTGGCAACCTGTAGCTTAGCTTAAGTAGATAATACTGATACAAGTGCTGATATCTTAAAGATGGATTCTTATATGCCATTCAGCAGACTGATATATATTCTAGTTTCTACTGATGTAGTCATAATATTAATAGTGGCACTGTTTTCTTTAGTTGAGTTATTTAATTTACTCATATTGTAATTATGTTTTCAATGAAGCCTTTCGTTTGTTCCTCCTTCAGCAATTCAGCTCATAATTTCTCTTTCATCTGAGTGCAGTTATGCATAGCCGTTCCTTGCCACATGTTCAAGTTGTGGGCTTTTATTGGAATTATGTTTCAGGTAAAGGCTTACTGCCATATTCTACTTCTCTTGTCTATTGAAGTTGGCTATTATTATGCTTCAAATATTAATTTTGGTATATAATTTACACATTTTTTGCAAAAACCCAATCCCCCAACAACCAAGACATCGAACTTTCCCCCATACAGGAAATTATAAGCTGAAGTGAGAGTTTAATTCCTGTTCTTCTATAGCCAAGCGAAATAAATTATTCTGTAGATAAATTTGTGTTTTCTCAGCTACAGTTGATAATTATGATATCTTCTGTATTTTAGGTTCACTTGACATGATAATGATGAATATCTTTTCACTCTTTCTAGGTTCCTTTGGTCTTGATCACTAATTACCTGCAAAATAAATACAGAAACTCAATGGTATGTCTCTAAAATGTCCTATTTAAGAATTTTGGTCTATTAATAATGTATGTTATATAATCATTGTCTTCAAGTTTATTTATTGGTTTTTAATTGTTATTTTCTTCATGCCAGGTTGGAAATATGATTTTTTGGTTCATATTTTGTATTCTTGGTCAACCTATGTGCGTTCTACTATACTATCATGACTTGATGAATAGGAAAGGGGAACTTGACTAAGGTAGTATTACATCATCAACCGTTCTTGTGTATGAGCTTTTCTGTTTTCAAAGTAAAATCGATGTAGATATGTTGCCCTCTATGTTTTTTATGGGGACTATTGGACAGTGGTTCCTCTGGGTTAAGCATTTCCATGAGATTTGCTAAGGTTTTGGAGGTTAATTCATCTTGACCCATGAACTTATATAACTTATTTGCTCTGGCACTTCTATCAGCATGCGAGGAATTTTGAAAGCAATGAACTAACAACGTTATGTGCTAAGTAACACTGACTGGTTTCTGATAAAAGTTGCGGGCTAGCTGCAAATGCCTAAACGGTTTAGGTGTAATTGGTTTCTGGAAGTTCTACCAATGAATGATGACGGCTATTATTCAGTACGAAACTTGTGTTAGTGCACTAGTAGCATATGCTAATTTCATAAATGAGGGATACTTGGACAAGATTACCTTGCTTAAGTAATCCATGAGATCTCTCAGTGCCCTCACTTATCAAACCCGAGAGATTTGAATTTATTGCCCTTTTCAGTTTTTGTAGATGCCATTTGAGAGAAATTATTGCATAATTTGGGATTGTGGTGTGCTCTGATGGGGGAGATCCAGGGGCATGGGTTCTGTCGATTTGGGTTATTTTATTTTAAATGACCTGAATCAAAACTTAATTCAGGTTGGGTTGATTTGATTCTGGTTGACCAGCAAAACGTTTTTACATACTTTGAGTATAATTAAATTAATTAAATTTGATTTATTTTGATTTTTTTTAACCACTCTTGGATCAATCGTATCCTATACACCCTAGTGTATATTTATAGTGAAATCACGTTAGTAACTGATAGACAGATACTACTGCTAGTTTATTAATTCTGGCTATTATGAAATCTCATGCAGCTCCCGTATTGATATTTTGGACAAAATTAGTGCATGTTGGCACCGATTAATGCTTGTATCCAATAAATATCAAATGAATGTGACTCTTTATTCATAAATTGATATACTTTTGGCCTGTGAAACCCTTTCTTGAGGCAGTTTTTTCATTGTACTGCCAAAGTTTCGAGGTCCACTATTACAAATTTTTTTAATAACTTTACTATATAATAATTAAGACTAATTAGACGGTAACAAAAGAAAGATTTGGGATACAATTGTGAAGGTTAGGGTGTGTAGGGAATTTGGAAGAAAATAGAAGGGAATGGACTAGGGGAAATTATGCAAAGCAAAGGGACTAGAATATAAAAGCTTAGCCTTATTCCGTTAAAAATGTCAAAATAGAAGAAAATTAAAGGGAAGTTAAATTGGAACGATTTACTATATAGTGTGAGAAAAATGGATGGATTATCCTTATTTAAATGGTAAAGGTGAAGATGATCTTAGGCGTAAGATAACGAAACCAGATGTACAACCAATGAGGAAGTTGACAGTTGCTCTACATATTTACTTAAGGATTGTAGTATGATACCTTTGTGGAAGATAAATATCAGAATTAATATAAAGGGAGGGTGTTGTGAGCAATGTTTTAAAACTCGGACCGGTCATCGAACCGATCGAGGTACTGGGTCACTGGTTCAATCGGGTTGAATCGGATGTATTGTTCACATATTAAAAATATAAAAATATTACTTATATTAATAAAAATTAACATAAGAAAACTATCAATGAGCTTTAAAAAATAAATTGATTTTCATTGATAGGAAATATTATATACTTCTAAGCTTCTAGCTCTAAACCATATCCTAATATTGGATTAAAATTGCAATATAAGTTAAATGCACCTTTTGTGCTTGACATGATACGAATAAATTAAATCATGATAACAAATAGTATGCAAGAAATATACACTAAGAAAAAAGTGTCACCGTTATCATGATTACAAATAGTATGCATGAAATATACACTAAAAAAAAGTGTCCACCGTTGAGATGAGATCAAGAGACCATCAGTGTTTATCTTTATCACCACTTAACTTCATGAGATCATTATAAGATGCAACTAAATTACATAAACGAACTGCACTAATCTAAAATACCTTATTATTTTCACCTTACTTTTAATCATATTCATCATAAAATATGAATATGGTTTAATTCAAGAGTTCTTATCAACAAAAAAAAATACCAAAAAAAAAAAAGGAATATCCGGTCTAACCCTGGTCGTCGAGTTTCGGCTGGGTCAACCGGTCCAATCCGGGTTGACTACAAAAGCGGTCCAACTACCCGCTCGGACCGGGGAACCCACAGGGTCACCGAGTTCTGGGTCGACCAGGCCGGTCCGAGCCGAGTTTTAAAACACTGGTTGTGAGTGCGTTGTAGGTTGTGTGTGTTTTGGTTACAATTTACAAAGAGTTAAAATATTTGCATGTGCACTCTTATATAATTGGTGCTGGTGTGGTGAGTATGATTAGCTCCGATAACGAGGGTTACACCGTGATTGGATGTGTTGTGCTGCGTTTGATGCTAGAATCATCTTTTGGGTACGAGTGTAAATGGGTTAGGCTGGTCTACGTGGGCTTACAGCCTAACTTATATTATGTCAGACTTGACCTATTACAAATAGTCCAATAGAATAAGCCTAGGTTTTTTTTAAAAAATCTATTTAGAAAGCACGTCATATGCTTTTTTTTGCATGCCTGGCTTATAAGTTTACATGTCGACCTATATCATATTATTTATTTTAAATAAAATAAATAAAATTTATTTTAATAATTTTAAATAATAAAGTAATATTATTTTAGTTATTTTTTTAATTATTTAAAGTTTAATATGAGTAAACATGCTAATAAACCTAGGCCAAAAATTTTATTTTTTAAATATAGGTCAGATCAGACTTGTAATTTAAACTTACATAGGCCAATAGACCAGGTCATGCCAAAGTTTTTTTTACACAAATTAACTTATTTAAATATGTTCTGGTCAAACATTAATGTGTATTATGTATATCTGGTGTGTCCTCTATTTGGAGTTTTCTATATATATATATATATATATATATATATATATATATATATATATATATATATATATATCATATGTCATACGGTTAAGATGAACATGAGTAGTTATGGATAACCCAGTATGAGATCGTGGTAGGGCTCATGGAGGTTATTAACATGTGGGCCTTATACCCAGCTAAACGACTTGGCTTAAGTAAGACACGTGATCGGTATGTCTTACTCAGATTCCAAGCTCCTTTGGGCTTGGGGGGAGCCTAAGCTACGGACCCGGAACATTAAGCCCCCCCAGCTCGGAGTATGAGTTCTATTCTACTCCGGATTAATGATACAAGCTATCTTATCTACAAGTCTTTCTATCGGTTCTTACTTTATCAATACCTTTATTAAATGCTTCTTACCTACTCATCCTACGCTTGCCAACTGTCCTTCCCTTGTTGGTCTCGATTTCCCAAACGACGCGATTTGACACCTATCAATCATTTATTTTAAAATTCAAAACGTCAATTACCATTTTACTCTTTCTTTTATTACTCATTTATCCCTCTTCATTTTCACTTTCATTACCATCTTCTAAGTATCTTTTCATCTCCTTTCTCCTTTCTTCCACGCTTTCCATATTCCCCCACTTTATTTCTTCTGCATTTTCTTGTGACTTTCTTGCTGGTTTTGCTACTTGGATGCCATTTCCACCATTGCTGTCTTCTCTCTTTCTTTTTCTAGTAACGGTAAATCAATCTTCATCATTTCATTGTTCTCTTCTTCTTTTTCCTCTTGCATCATTTTCCTTCTCCATGATGGTTCTCTGACCTCCACTGGTAACATTGCATCAAACCCGTAAGTCATCTTGAATGGGGTTTCTTGAATACTAGACTGTATTGAAGTTCTGTATCCCTATAACACATTGCCTAACTCTTCCGCCCATTTTTCTTTACACCCTTCTACTCTTCTTTTCAACCCATTCGTCAAAATTTTATTAGCTGACTCTACCTGCCCATTCGTTTGTGGATGTTCCACTGCTGCAAAATGATGTTATACTCCTAAGTCGGCCACCGCTTGCCTGAACTTTTTATCTATGAACTGAGTCCATTGTCAGTAATAATTATAGCCGGTATGCCAAACCTGCAAACTATCTTCCCAATAAAGAGCTTCTGGACTTTCCGAGCAGTAATACTTGTCACGGGTTCTGCCTCTATCCACTTTGTGAAATAGTCTGCTGCAACAATCAAGTACTTAATTCCTCCAACTACTTTGGGAAATGAGCCTAAAAGGTCAATTCCCCATTTAAAAAATGGCCATGGGGACGAGATTGTAAACAACTCTTATGGAGGAGCTTTATATACATTAGAAAATTTCTGACATTGTTCACACCTTTGTACATGCTTTTTGGCGTCCTCCCCTATCGTTGGCCAAAAAAAACCTACGCGTATGGCTTTCCGCGCCAAGGACTTCCCTTCAAGATGATGTCCATTGATACCTTCATGGATTTCTTCCAACACATACTCAGTATTCGGCGGGGCTACACATTTTAGTAAAGGTGAGTTCAGCCCTCTCCTATACAACTGCTCTTCTATCACCACAAACCATGCAGCCTTTCTTCTCAACTTACTCGCTTCCATCTTATCTCTGGGCTCTTCTCTTTTTTCTAAAAAAGCTTGAATTGGATTCCTCCAATCTCCTTCTTCCACCATCCACATCACACTCGGAGCCCAGATGCTCTGCTGTACAATTTTCCTCAAATTCCCTGTGGCATTAGTACTCGCCAATTTTGACAAAACACCTGCTAGGACATTATCATTTCTCCGGATGTGCTCTACTCGGACTTCTTTAAACTCTTTCATCAATTCCTGTACTTTTGCCAAATATTTGATCTTGATTTCTCCTCTAGCCTAGTAAACTCCACTTATATGCGATGTCGCAAGCTGTGAATCATTATACACTTCTAGGCATTCTGCTCCGATCTCTCTTGCCTGAACCAACCCAACGATCATTGCTTCATACTCTGCTTGATTATTACTTGTGGGAAACTCCAACGTCAATGAATGTTCTATTGTTACCTCCTCTGGGTTCTCTATTATAATCCCCACTCCACTTCCTTTTTTATTGGATGATCCGTCCACAAATAACTTACACCAACTATCTACCTTTGTACTCCCAAATGCGTCATTTCCACCACAAAATCTGCCAGAGCTTGTGCTTTTATTGCCTTGCGTGCTTCAAAACTGATGCCAAATTCAGATAACTCTACTGTCCATGCTACCATCTGACCTGCAAGATCCAGCTTATGCAACATCTGCATGATTGGCTGATTGGTTTTGACTATTATCTGGTGACACTGGAAATAAGGACGAAGCCTTCTTGCTGTGATTAAAATGCAAACACCACCTTTTCTACGTGCTGATAACGCATCTCAGCACCTTGTAGCATCTTGCTTATAAAGTACACTGGTTTTTGCTTGTCGCCTTCTTCTTCTCGGAGGAGAACCGAGCTTACTGCTTCCTGCGAAACAGACAAATACAAAAATTATACTTCACCTGGTTCCGACTTGCTTAAAATTGGAGGTGAAGCTAAAATTCTCTTAAAATGTTGAAAAGCAGCTTCACACTCTTCTGTCTAGACAACATTGCT